GCGCCGCACTTACCTTTCCTCAGACCCCATCCGGCTTTCGTGGGTCCGAGGAAGACCCAACAGTTGACAAAAATTGACCTTCAGTTATTACTCTAGATCCCTATTTTCACTGCTTTCTTTCCTGATTTTGTCTCTCTGCCATCCACATCAAACATCCCTTATTCATCTACCTTCAGATCTCTGACTCTTCCATTTCTCCTCTAATACTCATTTAGCAAGCTTATTTTGGTTATTATATCCTTTAGTTTTAAATTTTTCCTTAAGCCTTTTATTCATTCATTTATTTGCTGAGAATTTCTGTTTCTTTTTTATGTTTTTAATTGTAAAAATAGTGTACAGAGGGGTTACAGTTACATGAGTAAGGTAATGAGTACATTTTTTATTGAGCATTGTTACCTCCTCCTTTGTTTTTCCCCTACCATCCCATCCCTTCCTACCTCCCCAACTACTCTTCCTCTCCCCACTGCAAGTTGAAAAGTTTGTTTTCAACATAGTGTCTTGTACATCTCATTGTTACAATGGTTCAACCTGTATCCTCATTTCAGCATTTGGTTATTTCCCTTCCCCTCCCCAAATTAGAAAAATGTACATACAAGATGCAGGCCAACAACATCAAATGCAGTGAAAACGGGGGTTGTACCATGGGGGAAGAACATACAAGAGAAACAAAAAAAAATCACATAGTACATTTTAAATACGTTAAAAATAATAGCAAGAAAGAAAAAACTACTTGTGTCCCTATGTTGGGGTTCATTTCACTTAACATCATCTTATATGGTCATATGTACATAGCTTTTGACCTTTTCTGCTTGTCCTAGACTTATACTAGTTATTGAAAATAAAGGAAACCATGGGACCTATGTTTCTTTGAGCCTGGCTTACTTTACTTAATATGATTTTTCCAAGTCTTTCATTTCCTAACAAATGGGGCAATGTCATTCTTTCTGATGGAGGCATAGAATTCCGTTGTATAAATATACCACTAATTTCTGTTTCTCAATAGGTAAAAGTTGAGTTCCTAACCAACTTTTCATAAACTCTTATAAGTCAATGCTTATCAATTTTGGTTTTCCTGGGACTTCTCCTTTTAGTCCTCTAGTTGGAAATTCACCTTCAATGATTCTGTTCTCTCCATTATCCATACTTGCTCCTACATCTAAGCCAAGTAACTGGAAAACTAGAAGGTTAAAAAAAAAAGCAAAATAAGGTATTTGCCTTCAATGCAGTACAACTTAAATTCCAGTCTTTCCCCCCAGTTCTCCTGCTATGATTCTCTTCTCAGAATGGTTGAATACAGTTTGCATGTAACTTTCTAGGCTCTATGGCTCTATATCTGTATTCTTTCAGAGAGAGAGAGAGAGAGAGAGAGAGAGAGAGAGAGAGAGAGAGAAAGAGAGAGAATATCCTGGTGATGAGTTTCACCCAACCCAAGTATTCAGAAAATGGGCTTATACAGCATTTTTTTATTTATTTATGTATTTACTCAGGACCTCATACTTGCTAAGTACAGTCTTTATTACTTGAGTCACACTTCCAACCCTTTTTGCTTTGGGTAAATATTTTGGATACTGTCATTTGCTTTGTCTCCTTCAGGGTTTGGATTACAGATACCAATCAGCAGGTGCAACTGAACTTTGATCCTTCTGATTTCTGCCCATGAGTAACAAGGATTATAGAAATAATCATTACAATCAAGCTAATGTTATCCATCACCTCACTCAGCTACTCTCTCTCTCTCTCTCTCTCTCTCTGTATGTGTGTGTGTGTGTGTGTGTGTGTGTGTGTGTGTGTGTGTATTACTTCAGAGCTGTTCTCAGCAAATTTCAATGTATGAAATATATTGTTATTAAGTGGACTCACCATACTGCACATTGGCTTTCTAGAACTTCTACCTGAAATTTTATACCTTCTTGGACTATCTTTCAAAATTACATTAAAAGCAACCCCCAAAGTCTAGCTATAAGTTATCATTTAATAGGCTAATTAAGTTGGAGATAATTTTTAATAATTCTCTGTCCCATTACTACTATTTACTTTTCAGAATTCTCAGGTAACCCATATGTCTGGGCTATAAACCCTTTTTGTTAGGAAGAGGAGGAAATACTAGGGCTTGAATTCAGAACTTTAACCCCTGAGTCATATCTCCATCCCCACTTTTTACTGGTTATTTTGGAGACGAGTCACACAGACTTCTTCATCTGAGCTGGCTTCCAAACCACCATCTTCCAGGTCTCAGTAGCTGAAGAGCTAGGGTCATCGGTTCAAACCACTGACACCCAGGAAAAGGCCAAAGTAGCAGCAGTAACATATTCTTCTATTCCTCCTCCTCCTCCTCCTCCTCTTCATCTTTTTCTTTGGCATCATTTCAGTACTAGAAACTGAACTCGCGGCCTCATTGTTGCTAGACAGGTGCTCAGTCACCTGAGCCCGGCCTCCAGCCTACATTCATTGTGTACTTACTTCATTAGATTTGTGTTTAGGGTTACTTCACTCAACTTTTTCTTTCTTAATAATCTTTTGGATTACTAAAATTATCATATTTGAAGCTCCCGAGAAAGTTTAAATGCTTATTTTTCTAACAACTTCAATAAAACACTTGTCTTGGAGTACTGGGCATCCTGATGAGAAACTGCATATGAAAAGGCTGCAAGGGGGCTGGGAAGTTGGCTCAGTGGTAGAGCGCTTGCCTTGCATGCATGAGGCTCTGGGTTCGATTCCTCAGCACCACATAAGCAAAAAGAAAAAAGCCGGAAGTGGCGCTGTGCCTTAAGTGGTAGAACACTACCCTTGAGCTGAAGAGCTGAGGGACAGCGCCCAGGCCCAGAGTTCAGGCCCCACGACTGGACCCCCCCCCCCCCCAAAAAAAGAAAAGGCTGCAAGGCATGAATGAATTGCTACAAAAACTTCAATGTGGCTAGAATTTAGTGAGTAAAGAGAATGACAGTAGGTGAGATCAGTAACGTCAATATGGTGAATGTTATACAGACTTAAGCACATTAAGGAAACTAAATTTGGCTCACTTTGTCCTAGATTCACTGGGAAGTCTTTGGGAGATATAAACTAGTAAGTAAGCTGGTCATCTGTACATTTCACACACTATGCTCGCATATGGAGATAAAATGACAGAGAGACAATAGAGACAATGGGACCAAAAAATAACCATTACTTTTAGCCTGCTGATCAATGTGATTGTGATAGGAATGGAGGAAATGTAGAACAGTAGTACATGGGAAAGGCTTGCAGTTGGAACTGAAGGAATATTATGTCAAATGAATGTTGAGTAGTGAAAGAAAGTAAGGAATTAAGACTGTTTGGGGAAAGAGCAACTGGGGAGTTAGTGGTGCTATTAGCCCAAATGGGGTACTATACTCAGAAGGGTAGTTCCTTTTTGTGGCCATATGAAACTGGGATATCTACTGGTCCTCAAGGAGAGATGAATGCAGGTGAAGAGAAGGCACTTGTTTGGATAAGAGGTCGGAATGGAACCACCTAAGTTAGAGGAAGACATGCAAGAAATGAGGACAGCTGGTTCATCTTGGGGGTGAGTTTGAACGACAAGTTCAAGGACAGAGATCTAACATGAGAAGTCAGAGAAAAGGATTAAGAAAAAAGAACTGAGAGTGAACAACTCACAAAGCATAAGAAAAATGTAAAAAAAAACACAAAAGCATAAAAAAAATCAAGCCTGACTGGTGAGTGATATGTGTGACAAGAAATCAAAAGGGAGTGAATGGATGTGGTGGGAGGCAGAAGTAGGAAGATTGAGGTGACTGAGGCCAGCCTGGGCTACATACAGTTTGGTCTCAAAACTACAAGGCTGTGTAATCCTAGCTACTCTGGATGCTGAGATCTGAGGATTGTGGTTCAAAGCCAGCCTGGGGAGGAAGTCCGTGAGACTCTTATCCTCAATTAACCACCAGAAAACCGGAAGTGGCGCTGTGGCTCAAGTGGTAGAGCACTTGCCTTGAGCTGAGGGACAGCGCCCAGGCCCAGAGTTCAAGCCCCATGACTGACAAAAAACAAAACAAAACAAAACAAAAAAAAACTACAAGGCTGGGGATATAGTACAGTGGTAGAGAAAACTACCTAGCATCGTGGAAGCTTCTGGGTTTGCTCCTCAAGAGAGAAAATTGGTAAAAAGTGGCTTAAAATTCACAAATAAGACTACGAAAGTAGCCACTGTATCTGCCAGCAGAGATGCTTTCTCTGGGGATGTTCTGTCATGAGTGGATTTACAAGAAAATTGGGGGGTGAGGAAATAGAATAGAGGCTAGCTGAGCCATCTGAGACCTTTTGCATAGAAAGAAGCAGAATCATAGAGTTAAACTTTCACAGAAAACACAATGACTTGCAAATTATTATTATATTAAACCAGAAAAACCATAGAAATTACTCAAGGCAACCAAATTGTATTACGTCTGGCTTCTGTATAAAACTCACTTCAGCAGCTGGGCGCTAGTGGCTCACATATGTAAGGCTAGATAAAATTCCCAAGGGCAGGGTTTAAAGCCAATCTGACAAGAAAAGTCCACGAGATTCTATCTCCAAAAAACCAGCAAAAAACACATTTGGAGGTGTGGCTTAAGTGGTAGAATACAAGCCAGACAAGCAAACTGAGCAAGTGCTAAGCCCTAGGTTAACACTCTGATACTTGTAAAAGCAAACAGACAAAATCACAAAACTTGTTTGCATTAAACAGAGGTACGGTGAGAAGGCATACAAAAGGAGAAATAGAACTCCATCCTCATGGAAATAAAAATAACTCTGGGAGACCCCAGAAGTTGACTGTTTACATGGGGTGTTCAGATCATTATAAGGGGCACTGATTGTGATTGGAAGATCAGGAAAACGTAAATGACCTCAGCTGAACAGGAAGCATGAGAAAGATTTGATGAACTTGACCTGCTTATAAGTTAAACAATAAAAGTAAAGTTAAAAATTAAACCATTGAGCCAATAAAATCCTCATGGTTGCCTTACATAAAGACTAAAGGTTTTGAGTAATCATTTATAGCCAAGGGATTTGGACAAGCTGCAAAAAACTGAGAGAAATTTATGTGAAAGGAATGAAGATTCTGCATTCTTCCTCCTTCAGGTTAGCGTTCAAACTTTTGCTTTTGATATTCTGCTTTTGAGAGGTGGGCATAGGTCTTCATCCATTTGAGAACAGTCTAAATTAATAGGAAGGAAGGAAGGAAAGACGGAGAGAGGAAGGGAGAGAGGGAGAGAGGGAGGAAGGGAAAAAGGAAGGAAGGAGGGAGGGAAACAGACAAACAGAAAAGGAGAATGAATTTCCTCAAGCAATTACAGGTGACCATTGATTTTCCACTGTACACTTAAGGGTTTATTGGAACTGGACAATTCAGTGTAAGATTCATCTATTAAGCTTGTTTCTATTGCACACATAAGATTTTACAAACCACTGATCATTGGTGATGCAGTTAGTTTCAAGGCTGAATTCTCACAGGGGAAGATTAGAAATGCCGCTCTAACTTCTCTTCATGCCATGTCTCTCTTGAGCTGTAACTGTCAGGAGGCCCTGCACGTCTCAGCCTGTGGTGTGCAGCTTCGGCCCTCATCTGACACCAGTTTTGCCTTACCTTGACATTCTACTGTCAAATTCCATTGCATTTATGAGCTATAGCAAAGCTGTGAGTGCTGGCTTCCAGAAAAGCTGGTAAGGGCTTCTGTTGTAATAAGCATAAGGAGGGAACATTCAGTCAGAGCTAAGTCCTTCCATCTCACAGAAGTAAGAATTCCAGAAGCAAAACATTCCAGCCACTTATTTGACAAATGTTTACTGAATCGATGAATAAGCCAGGGGTCAGTGAACTCTTAGGCTTAGGTTAACTAAAAGAATCTTTATAGTTATAGAGGAAACGAAACCCTGAAAGCTTTGTCTTAACTCTCATGATTCATATAATCTTAACTATTCAGTTAACTGTCCTAAAGTGTGAACAGGAACGTAAGTAAGCATATAGTTTTAACTTTTAGCAGTAGTATATTCAATCCCTGAACCCCTCTATTTTGCCAATGAATACTGCTTTGGACTTCAATTTTTGTTTCAATTTTTAATTTTGTTTGTTTCTTTCTATCTCTTTCTCTCTCTGTGTGTGTGTGTGTGTGTGTGTGTGTATGTGTGTGTGTGTGTGTGTGTGTGATGACTGGGGCCTGAACTAAGGGCCTTGCACTCTCGTATGGCTTTTTCACTCAAGACTGAACCTAACTGACTTTCTAAGGCCATGCAATTATTTACTGAAAGATCCAAGAATAGGAGCCATGTTATATAAAATATAAGAAGCTTCTCTCTCTCTCTCTAAATATATATATATATATATATATATATATATATATATATATTTGTTTTTGCACTATTTTAAGTGAACAAATGCCAGCCCCTTGTGAACAGACAACCAAAATGTCTACTGGAACAGATGTCAAGAATTCAGAGCCAAACATTTCTGTGGATGATAACTTAAGCATGAGTCAAGAGCAACCCTCTAAGAAAGGTAAAATCATGTCTAGAAATCTGACTGTGGACACATCTGGCTTCTATATCACCTTGACGTCTCTTTTGTAGGTACTTAGCATTCTTCTTATTACTGTCATTGCCAAGAATTTCATATAGCTACAAAACATTCTTGCTTCTAATCATGTGTTATCATAAGAAATCTTAAAGGCATATTTGGATATTAAAATAACAACTTATCAAATTTTAATCGGAAACATAAAAACCAATTTGTTTTGTGTGATTTTAAGACCAGGGTTTGTCCCATTAAATCTTTTTATTCACATGGAGAGGCCTTTTCTTCCCACCATGTTATATTGCCTTCCCTTATTCCTCTCATCGATATTATAACGAAAGTATCTAAGTACTTTTCACTAGTGCTTTGGACTAAACCTTGCTAACTGCTTCATCAATTGGTGTCCAGCTTCAATTTTTCTCTCATTTTTCTGTTGCTATGTGGCCTATACTTACTGGGAAAGTCTGGGTCCTCTGTATCAGACCCTGCTGGGACTTCCAAGGGTTGTATTGTCCCCAAATTCTAATGATGTCTTTGTTGGCCATTACTGGGCTGACAAGACTCTCATAACACCATTCTAGGAGCTCCATATGAAATGTGAAGAAATGCCCCCTTCCATGGTAATAGCGCTCTATTGTTGATGTTTTATTTTGCTGAACTTTGATTTTGCCTTTCTAAGGCATTACACTATTTAAGTTCTCTCTTGAATCTTTTCATTTCTACTCTCACCCTTACATTCACCAACTACACACATTTTTCAAATCCCTGCTTCAGCAATGCTTCCATTAACTCTGAAAGGCCCAGAGGACCAGCTACAAAACGCCTTCCCTCCCTGTATTTCTGCAACATGGACAGAGATCAATTGTCTCCCTCTTCCTACTTAGGAGGGCTGGGAATAAAACTTCTTGATTATAAAACTTTATGTATCTTTCTCCTCTTAGGCCTTTGTTCACTTCGACATGGGCTGGCCTTCATCTTGCAGCTCTGTAATTTTTCAATTTCTACACAACAAATGAGCTTGAGCATTGCTATCACAGCTATGGTAAACAACACAGCCACAAGCACTCAGCCCAATACCTCCACAGAAAGACCCCCCATAGACTCCCAGGACTACTGGAATGAAACACTAAAGGAATTTAAGGCAGTGGTAAGTTGAGTGAGACTAGTGTCTGATTCATATGGTTTGATTAAAGGATTATCTTATGAAAAATTCAATGCACTTATCTGGAAAATGTTTATTGAGTAAACACTATTGCACAAGTGTGTCTAAGGAGATTTCATCTCTGCTTAGCGTCTGTGAGTTTTATCACAAACTAAGATAAAATAAATAAATAATTTCCCATTTAGTAGAAATAAACTCTTCCTTTATAATGATGAGAATTGCCAAAAAACAACAACCAAGTTTATCTATCTCTCTCCTTCCAGGTATGTTTAATTAGCTTGTTTATAATGTTTCCTTCCTTATCAGCTTTTTTTCTCCACAGGCTCTCATATTTTAATTGGTTAATTATTTGTGTCAGGATGACAGGAATGATACATACTGATACATACTGATGTCAACTTTTTTCTTTTATGAAATTGATAGCTTGGAGGAATTGGAGAATGGTTTAAAAGAAAGAGAACTGCTGATTATTGTTTTTCTTTTCAAGTCTTTACAATGAAGTCCACTTTCTAACCAAAGACAGTAAGGTTCTCCTTGTCATCTAGGTTTCCACATATGACTGGAATCCAGAAATCCAGGGAATCATCCTGAGCTCTCACAATTATGGCTCATTATTGGCTCCAATCCCTACTGGCTATGTGGCTGGAATATTTGGAGCCAAGTATGTTGTTGGAGCTGGCTTGTTAATTTCCTCAGTCCTGACTCTCTTTCTTCCACTGGCAGCTGATGCTGGAGTGGCTCCATTTATTGTTCTTCGGGTCATCCAAGGCATAGCCCAGGTACTAACGTTTTCCAAGTACAAATGGAATATAGGTTCCAGAATGATCTCATGGATCTAAGATGGAAAAATTTCCCCCAGGTTATGGTATCAACAGGTCAGTATTCGATTTGGGTCAAATGGGCTCCACCAATGGAAAGGAGTCAACTCACCACCATTGCTGGATCAGGTAATTTATATCCTAATCTCACCTTACATGAACTGTCCACAAGTACTCACCAATGGCCTATCAAGAGAATTAAGATCTTATATTGTAGTTACTCTGTCTTCATAGTCCTTGCTGCAAAGCACTACCCTATTCTAGCTTTCTAGATCAGAAATGAATGTTGGTCATACACCAAACATTCACCAACACATACACCAAAAACATATGTGTTCTGCACATAGTCATTTATTTTTAGACCCACAGAATCTGAATAAAGAATGAAGACACAGCAGAAAGAATTCAAGGCATAAATAGACTGATAATTGTCTGAGATTAAAGAGCTACCGAGTAAAAGAGCAGAATTTGCACCTGAGTAGTCTGAGTAGAAGCTCATACTTTCAGTCACCATGCAACCCAACCTTATAGAGGGCAAACAGAATACCAACATGGCCCTCTCACCCAGGACATCTTTGTATCTTTTGTTCAGGGTCAATGCTGGGAATCTTCATTGTTCTCCTTGCTGGTGGTCTCATCTGCCAGGACATAGGATGGCCTTATATCTTCTATATCTTTGGTGAGCTTTTCAAATCTCAGAATTTGACTTTTATGATAAAGAATGCTAGGCATAATTTCTGTGATGCAACTTATCTATGGTTAAGCAAATCCTAATAAATGTAGATGTTGTGAATCATGCTGGCTTACAAAAGAGCATTTAAGTGTTAGTAGCCATGCATATAGCTTTTATGATAAAGAATGCTAGGCATAATTTCTGTGATGCAACTTATCTATGGTTAAGCAAATCCTAATAAATGTAGATGTTGTGAATCATGCTGGCTTACAAAAGAGCATTTAAGTGTTAGTAGCCATGCATATAGCTATAATAATCTGACTTTAAAGACCTCAAAACATTTTATCTGGCTTCTAGATAGAGCCCCACAGGATTTCATGGCACTATCTTAAATAAAATGTTGAAAATATTATCCTGAAAAGATCATTTTTGGTCAGATTTATTTAATAAGCTAAAATAAAAATAAAATGCTCTTAAATTGCCTCTTATTGTTATAAAAAACAACAACAAAAAATTATATCAGTGTGTTTGGACAGGAGAATTAGTTGCTCCTGCAGCAGATCATAAGTGGCAGATCATAAAAGTGGCTTAGGAGAGTACAGAATAGACAGAGATTCTAAGGAAAGTTTCCAAAGACACTTTAGACTGTTCCAGAAGCAATATTTTACTACTTCATGATTTTTACTCTCATTGAGTTCTAGTTAAAATCTGCCTAGCTGCTGCTTTTGTATTTGTTTATTTAAAAAATTCTCTGTAGTCTTACCTGACAATTACCCAATAGCTTAAGTCCTTAAGTGTTTGCACTAGAGGATAGGCCTCTAAGATAAAGGGCTTCTATAAGAGCTCAATATAGTCACCGGAAAAAAATATGAGGATTGGTTACTAAAACATGTTATTCAAATCATGAAATCACGATTTCATGCATTTCATTTTGAGAAATTAAGTAGCAAATACAGCATAAGATCTCACTATTTGTTTAATCAATGTCAACATCCTCCAATCCCAATGTTCAACAAAGGTGTTTTATTTTTTATATTTATCTTTTCACATTTCTGTTTTTTGTTTTATGTTTTTGGTGCCAGTCCTGAGACTTAAATTCAGGGCCTAGGAGTTGTCCCTGAGCTTTTTTGCTCAAGGCTAGTGCCTATCACTTGAGCTTTACTTCTTACTTTTTGGAAATTTTTGGATATAAGAGGCTAAGAACTTTCCTACCCAGGCTAGCTTCAATCTGTGATCCTCAGATCTCAGCCTTCTGAGTAGCTAGGATGACAGGCATGAGCCACCAGCACCGGCTTTTATCTCCCCATTTGATTCCATTCCTTGGTAGCAAAATTGTAATTTTTTATTTTGTAGTCTCAAAATTCATCAAGTGTGGTATCTACTGCGGGATGCTTGTGAAAAAAATGTGTAAATGACAAGCTAGTCAAGTAAAGAGAACTCTTAAGATTTTCTTGTTTTGTTTTGGTTTTGGTCGGTCATGGGCCTGAACTCCATACGCTCTTCAGCTCAAGGCGAGCGCTCTACCGCTTGAGCCACAGCACCACTTCCGGTTTTCTAGTGGTTTATTGGAGATAAGAGTCTCATGGACTTTCCTGCCCGGGCTGGCTTTGAACCACGATCCTCAGATCTCAGCCCCCTGAGTAGCTAGGATTACAGGCGTGAGCCACAGGCACCCGGCTACTCTTAAGATTTTCTTAAGATTCCCAAATGACAAGTTTTAAGATGAGCCACATTGTCATTTAGTACCGATACTGTTGAGTTCCCCAACCATATAATAATTTTAACATTTCTTTGTCTAAAATGTATTGGGGTAATCCATTGCCTATAAATTTACTACATCAGGAACTCAGGGTATAGCTTCAGGTGGTTTACTGGCCTTGAGTGAAAAAGCCAAATGAGAGTGTGATGCCTGCCCTGAGTTCAAGCCCTAGTCCTGGCCCAAATAAGGGGAAGTATAATACACAGCAACACCCTGCCTCAAAACTAACTAACTAACTAAATAAATAAATAAATTCACTGCTATTAACTGAAGTGCTTTGAAAAAAGATAAGAGAAAGGCATGGAAGAGTTTAAACAAGAAAAGAACTTCATATAGCTAGCAGGAGGAATTCCAATCTGTACTTCAACAGTGAGGGTATTTTCAAATACAAGAGGCAACCTCAGTAATAACTGTAACAATGTGCTGTAGCTTCAACACGATATTACTTGAGACTACCATAGCTCACTGGTTTCAAATAGCAATGATCATTTCCACAGTTGTGTGGGACAGCCAGGTGGCTCTGCTCTCTGTGTTTCTCATCTGCCTGGAACAATGAAATAGCTGGACCATAGTCCTCCTATGAAGACTTCCCAGAAGACGTGAAAAAAAGCCAGTGGTCCTTCATGGCTAGGTAGGGAATTGCCCCCAGGCCATTGGCAAAAGCACTTAACATGGCCAAGTCCACAGTCAAGTGGTGGGGAACTATACACTTAGGATAGCATGCAGTGTGCATGCAGACAGGAGCAGAGTATGTCAGCCATAGGAATCCACTGCTAACCACATCTTCTTTTCCTAGGTGGAATTGGCTGTGCCTGTTGCCTTCTGTGGTTTCCTCTCATTTCTAATGAGCCCAGTAATCATCCCTTTATCCGTCCTAGTGAGAAGAGCTACATCTTGAGTTCACTGGCCCAACAGGTACATTGAGGAATTCCTTTACCATTTCTCATGCCTGCCTAGGCATCTCCAAGGTAACAAGAATAGTAGAGCCGAGATGATGTTTTCTGTTGGAGGGGTATTAACATGTGTTTTCTTCTAGGATTGCTTGCCAGACTGGTCTCTTCCCATTAAAGCTATGGTCAAATCCCTACCACTATGGGCCATTGTAGTGTCCTATTTCTGTCAATATTGGCAGTTTTCTACTATGATGGCATACACACCTACATATTTCAGCTCTGTACTTCAAGCCAATGTCAAAGATGTAAGTATAGAGAAAGCTTATTCTGCTTTTCTGTTTAAATGCTTCATTATATAATCTGTCTCTCCCATGGTCATAAAATCAGGGAATTAGTCCCCAGAACTCAAATAAGAAATGCAAGCTGAGATGAGTGCTGGTGGCTCATGCTTGTAGTCCTAACTATGTGGGATGCTGAGATCTGAGGATAGTGGTTTGAGGCCAGCCTGGGTAGGAAAGCCCATGAGAGTCTTATCTCCAGCAAAAATTCAGAAGTGGGGCTGTGACTCAAGTAGTAGAGCACCAGGTTTGAGTGAAAAAAAAAAAACTAAGGAATAATGCCCAGGTCCTGAGTTCAAGCCCCAGTACTGGCATAAAAACAAAAAAAGAAAGGAAGGAAGGAAGGAGAAAGCAGGGAAGGAATGAGGAAGGAAGGAAGGAAGGAAAAGAAAGAAAGAAGGAAGGAAGGAAGGAAGGAAGGAAGGAAGGAAAGAAAGAAAGAAAAAGAAAGAGAAAGAAAGAAAGAAAGCACCAGCTGATTAACTTGGATTCAATGTGGTTAACTGCTTATTGGAGCCAAGATGCATAGCTCTTGGTTAGATATTCACATAATGTCCTATTTTATGGCAAAAAATACTCAAGCCAATCAATATTTGCAAACAACACTCCTCCGACAATGTAAAGAACAAAGAACTAACAAAGTAAGTTCTGCCTTGGGAGAAAACTGTGATAGAGATGCATAAACAACATATGCTGGAAAGATATTAGTAAGATAGGAAGTTCTGAGTAGAAATTATACAAAAATCCATGGATTAAAAAAAAAACTTGTTCAAGTATACTTGTTCAAGTAGACCTGTGTGTACAGCTGTCTGGATTATTACAAAATGGTCAGATGACTAATTGACTGCCAGGAGTCTTCAGTGGCTGTTAGATGGGTATCTTAAAAAATCATGCAGCAGCTGGGCACCAGTGGCTCGTGCTTGTAATCCTAGTTAACTCGGAAGACTGAGATCTGAGAATGAAAGTTCAAAGCCAACCCAGGCAGGAAAGTCTGAAAGACTCTTATCTCCAATTAACCATCTAAGAGCCAGAAGAACAGCTATAGCTCAAATGGTAGAACATTAGCTTTATGCAAAAAGGCCCAGAAACAGTGCCCAGGCCCTGTGTTCAAGCCCCAGGACCAGCAAACATACAGAAAATGATGCACTATGTTAGATGCCTGTTAGTGAAAGGCCATTACATTGCTATTATAAGTTAAGCCTAAATACTTAGAGAGCAGTCATCTCATACTGAGGGCACTTTGAGTAAAATGTACTAAATGACCAATGGAGAGCTGACTTTCTTCACAGTGGTAAGAGTGTGGGGAATAGGTGTGCAAGCAGACTGAAGGCAAGGAGCTCAGAAAGCCCAAAGAGGGACTGGCTCCGAATTCTCTTGAACAGGAGAGGTTTGAAAGCAGGCAAAGAAAGGGGAACCAAGGGACAGAAAGGCTGGGCAAAGGATGCCTTTGCTGGGTGATCGACACCCTAAGTCTGTCTATGAGGCTGGGTAAGGAGATGAGAGCTGAAGAGGAGAGTGGAGGATAATAAACGGAAAGACACGTATGAGCAGATAGCAGAACTTACAGGCTAGGAAACCTAGACTCCTACTCTTTCCATTAAGTCACATTAAAAACTTGATAGCCTTGGTTTTACTCATCCATAAAAGGAACCACTTGAACCAGAAAGGGCTAACTTCTTTTCATTCCAGGAAGGATATCTACAACAAAAGATGATCTCTTGTGAATTTTCTTGAATAGAATTTTAACTTAGAGGTCGAATGATCATAAGAATTACAAAGCACTTTTAAGGAACTATGTAAAATTTGACTTTATAAACTATGTAAAGAAGGAAAATTCTGGGGCTGGGAAGGTGGCTCAAGGGTACAGTGCTTGCTTTGCATACATGAGGCCCTGGGTTCACAATTCCTCAGCACCACATACACAGAAAAAGCCAGAAGTGGTGCTGTGGCTCAAGTGGTAGAGCACTAGCCTTGAGCTGAAGAGCTGAGGGACAGCGCCCAGACCCAGAGTTCAGGCCCCACAACTGACAAAAAAATAAAAATAAAATAAATAAAGGAAAATTCTTATTCCCCATTCTCTGTTTTCTTGTGTGTTTTTTGTTGTTGTTGTGGATGCTTTTGGTTTTGTTTTTTGTTTTTGTGTGTGCCAGTACTGGTGCTTAAATGCAGGGCCTGAACACTGTCCTTTGGCATTTTCTGCTGCAAGCTGATACTTTACCACTTGAGCCACTGCTCTTCTTACAGATTTTTGGTGGCTTACTGAAGATAAGAGTGTCATGGATTTTTCTGCCCTGGCTGGCTTCAAGTAGTGATCCTCAGATTTCAGCCTCCTGAACAGGTAGAATTAATTACAGGCATGAGCCACCAATGCCAGGAAAAAAGTTCTTTTTAAATTTCTTATACATTTTCTTATTGTTTCTCAATGAGAATGCAAGCATACTCTAATGATATTTTTATTTTACCAACTTTTTTGCACAAAATATAATAGGCTGTATATGCAGCTATATTATTTATTTGTTTATTTATTTATTTACCTCTTATTAAGTCTTGAGAATCAGTTTGTGTCAGTACTTGAAAAACTTGTGGGACACTATTTGTTTTCTTTTTGTTTTTTGTTTTTGTTTTTTTGTCAATTGTGGGGCTTGAACTCAGGACCTGGGTGCTGTCCTTGAGTCTCTTTGTGCTCATGGTTAGCACTCTACTACTTGAGCCATAGCACCACTTCTGGTTTTTGAATGGTTAATTGAAGAGTCTCACAGGGGATTTTCTGCCAATGCTGGCTTTGAACACGAACCTCAGATCTCAGCTCCCTGAGCAGCTAGGATTACAGGTATGAACTACCAGCACCAGGCCAGTATTTGTTTCCTTCTTTAACCTTTGAGCAAAGCTGCAGTAGAAACTTCATTCCTTTGTCATATGCTTTCACATCAGCTTCTGTGGAGTAAATAGCTGCATATGAAATTGCTGAGTCAATGGGTAAATGTCCCATAAATGTTCATATTTATTGTTAAATTGCTCTCCATAAGGAACCGATAATATTTATGAGTACCATTTGCCCTAAAGGGGAGTTGTGCCAGTTTGATCCATGAAAATACTATGTCACTATTTGTTTTATTATGGGTGGGTTGGGTAACTTTAAACATATTCAGGGACCACTAACATTGTATATAAATTACATTTACATTCTTTATTTTTCTATTGGGTTATGGTCTTTTAATATCTCTTTCTATATGAAAAAGAGTATTCATTTTGTTGTTTTTCTTTAGTGACTTTTCAAGTAGGATCTTGTGTTTTTTGCCCCAGCTAGCCTCAGACTCTGTACCTTCTACTTATGGCCTTCCATTTCTATGAAGCCGGGATAAGAAATCAGGGCTAGCACACATAGCATATTGATTTATATGGGATTTCTATTTCCTGAACAGCTCAGTTTATGGGTATGTATAAAAATACCGTATAAACATGCCAGGCTTTAAAAAATTATTTTCCAGAAGTAGCAACAACTAAAGAGCTATATACATATTTCCCACCAGGCACTAAAATTACCCAATTCATTCTAGTAACATGGAATTTATATGAAAGGTGATGCATGTCATGTCTAAAGAAAACCCATAAATATGGGCACTTTATCCAAGGATCAGTCTCTGTCCTAGAGGGTTCCATACATTCACTTTTTCTCGAATTCTCAGAGTGGGATCCTGTCAGCTCTGCCATTTATTATTGGCTGTGTCTGCGTTATCCTTGGAGGTCTATTGGCAGATTTTCTTTCATCTAGAAAATTCCTCAGACTTGTCACCGTCAGGAAACTCTTCACTACTATAGGTAAATGTTTAAGATGAATTCAAGGGTGGGTGTGGGGAGCTCAAGGAGCCTCCTACTTACTGCTTTTGTCCTTCTGCCCCAGGGGTTCTTTCCTCTGCTGTGGTCCTCTTGATTCTGCCTTGGGTCAAATCCAGCTTCAGTGCCACCGTGGTCCTCTTGGTATTGTCTTCTGCCTTCAGCAGCCTCTGTGATTCAGGAGCCCTTGTTAACTTCCTGGACATTGCTCCTCGGTAGGGATCCTTTTATCTCTTCCTTATATTCGCTCAGTTGAGGTCCAGCGGTCCTAAAACTGATTTACAAGAACAAAAGGTGGCTTGTACGACAAGTCACATCAGTCCTGCATCCAAATAATTCCTGGAAATTACTCTGAGCTGGTCAATCATTGTGAACTTCCTGTCTCCAGATGCAAACAAGAGTACCCTGTCACCATGCTGACAGCTCAGTAGGGAGACACACAGCCCTCTCTTTTCACAAATATAATAGTTACCCAAAGTGGATTATGCCTGTGTAAGACATATCTCTACTATGGGTTAATAGCAGAGATGATTGAGACTTTCGCATACACCTTCCTAAATCTTGTCACAGCCCACAGGACATACTTCATCTTCAGACAATGAACTATCAAGATATGAGGAAGATACTTTGATTTTAGGGAGACACCATCTCATCCAATGAGGGGTGTTTTATATAGAAAAAAAAAGACTTTTAAACAGAGCTATAGGATCAAGGTCATGATCAGGAACAAAGAAACCATACAAACGAAGTGCAAACCACTCATCTTTACTTGTATAAACCATGTTGACTAGTTAGTACAGGCCACCCCCTTGGAAGGCTCAAGCTCTAGCACAGGATTATACAAATCAGTAGTACACTTCACTCAGGCTTAATAAGAGTGAACACAATTCCAAGCACCCCCAGAGATAAGTACAAATTTATAACCAACAGATCAACCCCTTTGTTTACATGGGACTATTTCCTCTCTGCTTCTTCCTCAGGTACGGTGGCTTTCTCAGAGGACTAATGCAAACCTTTGCTTATATATCTGGAGCCATCTCTCCTACTGCTACTGGATTTTTCATTAGTCAGGTGAGGATACATGTTTTGATGAATATTTACAAGAGAAGTTAATGCATAAGTGTAATAGGTTCTTGTTCTCTGGCAGAACAGAAATAAAACCAGGCGCAGAAAGTGCACTTATATAAAGTTAACAAAGAATTTAACAAAGAGAAGTTAGAAGAGTGAGCAGAGAGCCTAAAAACCAGTTGTCTGCCATGTGATCAGAGACTGACTATTTTGTATTGTCTTTTTCTACCTTTCCTTCTTTCTTTAGGAAATTTGTCAGATTGTGATTGGTTTGTTTATAACAGGCAAGACCATCCCCAGGCAGTAGCCACAGGATGATGGGTTGTAAGAGGGCTGGCCTGTGTTATAGAAAGACCCAAGGGTCGTAGCCATCAGTTGGCAGGAGAGAGAGCTGGCCTTAACTGGTTGGCTGATAATTTCCTTTAAACCCTATACAGGGTAGCAGTAGATATCAGCCTAAGAGTATTTTTGTTCCTTTCTCAAAACTCATGAGTCTTGAACTCTCAACATTCCTTCATTTCAAGATCAGCTTATGCAGACAAATTACCACATGCTCGGTGAGGAGTAAAGGAGAAAATTCATATGAATTTATGTTATTAAAAAAAACATACAGACTTCCTAGTAATATTCATGACATTTGTTCTGTAGTATAGAGTGTCCTGCTATCTTGGCTTGCACATGACAGAGATTTTTCAACATGTAAGATTTTCATTGTTGAAATGTCAAAAATCAGGTATGATGGTACATGCCTATCATCCCTGCACTCAGGAAGTAGAGACAAGAGGATTACAAGTTTGAGGCCACCTGAGCTTCATAGTAAGGCCAATTTTAAAGAAAATTAAAAATTTTAAAACCCTGAGGGTTAGGAATGTAGCTTTGTAGAAGAGCAATTGTCTGTACAAGGCTCTGTGTTTAATACCAAGCAAAACAAAACAACATAAACCTTGAAAGTGCCAGGGAAATCATGATGAGTTAGTCACTCTACATAGAAATCCAGCAAGTAGTTACAGAATGAACCAGCAAGATGCTGAGTGAATAGCAGAGTGAAGGAGTAACTGTTCCTCATATGATTTTTCTTGAATCATCATACAGAAACTCATGTGACCAATGTTGCTGGCATAGTGGTTTTATATCTGTGTAGCCTTCCATCCAGGAAGATGCCTATAAAATAGCCAAAATAAGTTGAATGTGATGCTGTAGGCCTTTATCCCAATTCTTGAGCGAACTAAGGAAGGTGGATTTTAAATTTGAGATTGTGGCTAGTCTGGATTATGTGTTGAGACCCTGTCTCAAAAATAAATAGCTGGGCGCTGATGACTCACATCTGTAATCCTAGCTACTCAGGAGGCTGAGATCTGAGGATTGTGGTTCAAAGCCAGCTGGGACAGGAATGTCTGTGAGACTCTTATCTCTATTTAACCACCAGAAAAGCAGAAGTGGTGCTGTGGCTTAAGTGGTAGAGTGCTTGCCTTGAGCTGAAGAGCTCAGGGACAGTGTCCAGGCCCAGAGTTCAAGCCATGGAATGACCAAAAAAAAAAACAAACCCAAAAAAGTTAATTAATTCATAATCATCAAATAAAGATAAACTTACTTAACAACTTGAGGATTGCCTAAGAGTTTTATTGATATAAACTTTATATGAAGAAAAACACTGATGACATATATTAATATCTTCTTTAACTTTCCTGTGGTTTTCCACCAAGAAATTAGGAAAATGAATGAGAATAAGAAAATAAGGGTGTTTTCTAAAAATAAAATCAAGTTGTGTGTGTGTGTGTGTGTGTGTGTGTGTGTGTGTGTGTGTGCAGCACACATGTGTGTGCTTGAACTCAGGGCCCTGGGCACTCTCCCTTAGCTTTTTTTTGCTCAAGGATGGCACTCTACCACAGCTCCATTTCTGGTATTTTGGTGATAAACTGTCGATAAAGATCTCATAGACTTTCCATCCAAGGCTGGCTTTGAAACACAATCCTCAGATTTCTGCCTCCTTAGTATCTAGGATTAGAGGTATTAGCCACTCTTCTTGTTTTTGAAGCTTCCATTCCCTTCTAGCCACTGACTAACACAGTAAGAAAATAGCCACTTAAAGTGAAAATACTCTAACCTTGTTTTTCCTGCCACATAATTAATAAACTCATTCATTCAAAAAGTATTGAATTCATACTTACTGAATTCAATACATATTCAATATGTATTGAATATTAACAAGTGTCATGCATTGTTTTGGCAAATAAACAAAAATTCCTTTCCTTGTAATATTATAGGAAATATTATAGGAAAGAAACTGGCAGAAAACTAACATAAAATTCATGATATATTGATATATTGAAGTCAATAGGGCACATTAAAGGGAACAGAATTTTAATTTAATCAGGTTGACACAAGGGAGTCCCAGAAAAGGTAACATTTAAGCAAGGACTGGAAGGAAGTGAGCCAATGAGCAAATGGTGCCCCACGTGAGGAGAATCCAGCAGAGCTAACTGCCAGTACACTGGCCTTATGATAGAAATGAATCTGCCTATTCTAGAAAAGGATTGAATTGGAGGTAGGAACAGCAGGACATGGAATCATACAAAGCCAGGGGGGAAAGGACTGGGTATTTCTACTAATGGTAGTTTTCTTCCTCCAGGATTCAGAGTGGGGTTGGAGGAATGTCTTCATAGTTGCAACTGCTGTTAATATATCAGGCCTGATCTTCTACCTCATCTTTGGCCAAGCAGAAGTACAACATTGGGCTAAAGAGCAGACAGGCACCTACTTCTGAGAAAACAGAATGATATGTGAAATCTGATGCTTATTTCATTGCTTTCCCTCACACACTTTCCTCATGTGTACCTGTTTGAGTGATTAGCCATTTAATTGAAATTGGCTTTGTTTCAAGTATCTTCTCAAAGACCTTGGTTATGTAATATTGTAGATTTTACCATGCCTAGAGATTTCACAGGGGATGAGGAAGCTTAGTTGTTTAAGTGTGCTCCTGACTACACATTTATTGGAATTTCTTCTCATCTCCATTTTCCCCTCTGCTATCCTGGTAAAAGCATCAAAGACTAAGGAACAATTTTTCACCAAAGCAAGAGGAAACTAGAAACAAAAAAGTGAGGGCCAACAGTCACAAGTAGAGTAGTATCCTTCTGCAAACAACCTGGAGATGAAGCCTGAGAGCTAGTATATTAAGAAATAGTCTAACCATGGAAAAGCATAGTATTTATGTCTGAAGTTCCAGAGGCCAGAGCAAGTGAAATTGTTCTTACATCAAATGAGAACCGTTAAAGGGCTATTCTGAAGTTTGGGGTAGGCAGTGTACTTAAAATATGAAAAGAAGGAAAAAACAATAAAGAACGAACTCATCATCACAACAGGAATGAAAGTTCCTCCAGAGAATGCAAGTGGAGAGTAGACTTCAACTATTACAGACAACTTGCTAGGTTTTTTTTTTTTAATGGATGCTGGCTTTGAGTCTATAACATCTGCACCACTCAGCCATTCTTTGGAGTCAGCTCTTCCACAACTACCTTCATCTTGACCTCATCCCTACATCTGGTTTGTGAAGCCATGAAGATCTCTTATATTTCTTAGTGAGCGGACATTGCCCTGTGCCTTTTTTATCCTTTCAAGACATTTATTCATGTTGTCAGTCCTATCTCCAGTGCCTTTTGATTCTCTGATTATTGGGAAGCCCCTAACCATTTAGTGGGTCTCATTCATTGTTCACTTTATTATCCAAAAATGCCAGTAAGATCCATACTGGATCAACCTCATTCCAAATCTCCCTTGTATATCTGCAGATATACATGGTATATCTTGGTTTCATGATGCCTTCATATGGTCAGCACAAAGATCATGAAAGAGAACAAAATCATTCAAGCGCTAAATAAATACTAATAAACACATTAAGGTTTATGGAAGCATGGCAGACATCAAAATCATACACAGCTTGAAGGAGTTCACTATCACAGGAGGGCAATAACTGCAATCAAAGTATCACACAAATTAATATGTAATGACAGTTATGGAAAAGGAAAAAATGAAGGGTATATCACACAAGAAGAGTGAATGATACCTGGACACCAGTACCTTATTCTTGTAATCCTAGCTACTTGAGTCTGAGATCTGGTGGCTGATAATTTGAAGTCAGCAAGAGATTCCATCTCCAAAAATAATAAATATAAAGCAGGACTGAAGGCATGGCTCAAGTGGTAGACACCAGCTAAGCAAGCAAGCTGATTGAGCATGAGGCCTTGAGTTCAAACCCTGATACCACTAAAACAAAAGCAGTGAATGATAAGTGCATAACCACTAATTTGAATGTGAAGGAGAGTGCCCTACAAAGTTTCAATTGAGCCAAGATCTGAAGGCCCACAGCAAAGACTTGATGTCAATAGAGAGTAATTAGTCTGCCCAGAAAGTAAGTTGTGAGCAGACTGTAGACGTATTGAGGTCAAGAACACATGAAACACTGTGGACCTAGCATAATCTTTCTATGGAATTCAGAAGTATTGTGGTGAGAAAGGATATAATCAGGGATGTATTTTTCAAAGGCTACGCTGCATGAGGGAATGTTGAATAGAGTTCCCAGTGTAGTGCAGTGATGGCTTCTGGCATGAGGAAAACAAACTAAACAGACTATTTGCTTCAAAAGACAAGCCTGATACGACTTCCATACTACGTGAGAGAAAGATGTCCAGAGCAATGGCTGCAGTTTTGGTATGACACTTGATTGATAAGGATGCCACTCACAAAGATGGCAGTCACACCAAAGTTCATAAGAAGGAAAATGAACCCAGATCGGATTGCACATGTGCAATTTGACCTCCAGATATCAGGAGCCATTTATACATCATTTGGCAACATCTTAGACAAAAGAATAATATTGGGTTCATAGTAAGTGCCAATAAATGTTTGTTGAATCAATATGTAAATCTATGAGTGGAAAAGCTCTGGAATCAGGAAAAAATGAATGGGAAGAAGAATACCATATTTTCACCTAAATTTTCTTTTTTGCTCCTGAAATTTTCTTTATATAAATTATATAAGACAAAGCATATAAAAACAAAGTATATACTTTGTTTTGAGGACAGAATCAACTGAAATGAGGATTCATCTGCTTAATTGAAACTAAAATACCAAGAAACTGATTTGTTCCATTTTATTTCTCCTGTTTGGCTCTATAGCCAAACCTAGGACTTATCATTGACAAGGCATTGCCCATTAGGGTATAACATTTCTTGCTTCTTTTTGAACTACCCAAATCTGCATTTAATCATCAACTTTCCTTACCTCAACGTTTTAATATTTTCCTAGTGGGTCACCTTTAGTCGCTTCTGAAAACAAACTGGTTTCTTCCTGTAGCCACCAGAAAGGAAGCCAATTTTGTACCTTTTTCTCCAAAAATAAGTAACCGTGAAAGTATAGGAACCATCTGAGATTTTCCACTGGCTTATACTTTTACAATGGGCGGGGGTGAGAGGAAGAGTAACAATTGAAAATTGAGAACAAAGGCCTTTCACAAGTTTTTATAAAATTTCACATGTGTTTATTGGGGCATTTAACAATCATCTAAAAGACCACTAATACAGAGAGGAAAAAAGATAAATAAACACTCCTTAAAAATTTCAGACACGTAACTTGTTACAAACAATACCTGTAACAAAGGAAAGTACATAGGGTATGAAGAAGAGATTGGATCCTTTGGGCTCCTGGCGGGAAGAGGGGTGGGCTGGAGGCTTCTTCCTAGACCTGGTGACATTCCTGGAGCTTCATTCTCATATGGGACTCACTCTTTCAATCTCTAAGAAGGCTGGTCTCAGGCTCATCATGTGCTTAGCTTTACCCTATATTTTGGAGAGAAAGGTCAGAGGTAAATATGTTCTGGTGGCCATAGCAATCTCATCCCTGTTTTATTATAACATTAACTTTGTCTTTGCTCTGAAGGGTTTAATGTCCGAAATGTAAATTGGCTTTCAACATTATAAATAAAATATTAATGAATCATAGAGAAGAAAAATATACAATCTCAATAGAGTCTCTACAGGGGTTAAAAATTTACTACTCTAGCACATAGGCTATTTCAGTTAAAAGCACTTGAAAAGTGACAGGAGCAAAAAGATCACTCTGAGCTTGCTGTTTCTTAAAGCAGAAGATGAAATTCCAATGTGAAAATGGTCTTCAACCTTTATCACCAGAGAAGAGAAAAGTAAGCCTAAAAGAGTTCTGTCTAGCCTAACCTGGTTAAAAGAGCTCCTATCTTCCTAGCTACCCTTTGTCTTGTTACATTTTCAGCTTATTATTCTGTTCATTCAGAATACACGTGACTGACTCTAAATGCCTCTAGGGAGCCTTCATTTACTTATAAGGGATCTCATGCCACTGAAAAGTTATGTTGTATTTCTTTTTCCTGTTAGTCAACTGTAGGACCATAATAAGATGAAAGCTGAGTTTTTCCACTGGACCACCACAAATACTTCGACAAAACTCAATTATCATGCTTAGTTTTTTTTCAAACTTAATAGTTACAGGCAACTCATTAACATGATGACTGATAAACTAGCAATTTATTAAGAGTAAAATAGAAGACTATGTAATTAAAACCATAAGGAGTAAGGGATCCAGGGGTTGGTAGCTCACATTGTTATCCTCGTTATTCAGAAGGCTGAGATCTGAGGGCTACAGTTCCAAGCTATAATTGTCAGAAAAGCCCAAGAGACTCTTTATTTAACTAGTGAAAAGCTAGAAAAAGAGGTATGGTTCAAATAGTAGAGTGCCAGCTGTGAGTGCAAAGCCCATGTGAGAGGGAAGCCTTGGTAACTGACAGAAAGGAGGAAGTGAGAGAGGTAAGGGAGGAAGAGAAGAGGAGAGAAGGAGGAAAGGAAAGGAAGGAAGGAAAGAAGGAAGGAAGGAAGGAAGGAAGGAAGGAAGGAAGGAAGGAAGGAAGGAAGGAAGGAAGAAAGGAAGGAAGGGAGGGAGGGAGGGAAGAAGAGAGGGAGGAAGGAAGAAAAACATGTGCTAGTGCAATACAACTTCAGGTTGTCATATCAATATAAGAAAATGAAGCAAAAAATAAAAAATTCATAAAATGGGAAAAGTCAATATGTTTACATCATCTAAACAAGTTTGCAATTATATTATACTTGTCAAAATCTTTCTTTTCTTTTTTTTTGTCAGTCATGGGGCTTGAACTCTGGGCCTGGGCACTGTCCCTCAGCTCTTCAGCTCAAGGCAAGAGTTCTACCACTTGAGCCACAGCGCCACTTCCTCAAAACCTTTCTAAAATTGTAACATTAGGATATTAAAAATAATTGCTTAGGAAGACAAAAAGGAAGTGAATAGAAACAATCATGAAAAACATTTAGCATTAACTTTCAATATTTAATAGGTCAAATTCTGTATATTAAAATAAGAATAGAATATGTATTGCATAGCTGAGCCCAGTTCTATACCTTCAGGTTCCTAGATGCCCTGCTTCAAGCCTTCCTCTCTGGTGGAAGGTTCTGGAGTTGCCCTGTTTCTATTTTCATTCCAAAGGAATTTATCAACTTCACAAATCTGGTAAGCAGCTGTGAATTCATCATATTTCCCAATGCTGTTATATGACCATTCATCTAAGTAATTTTTGCGATAAAATATTCAGATAAGAGTCTATATATTTAAACCTGTTGGTTATAGTTTAGTCACTTTAAAAGCAGTAGTTGTGACTAGAGGTTCAATCAGATTCTGCTTGATTTTCCTGTCAAGGCATTAATAATTATGTATTCCTCCATCAGAAGGTATGAAGTATCTTTGTGCCTCTCTTTTGTGATATTAGAAACCATTGATATCCAACACTAGGGTTCCTTAATTTGGTGAAGATTCCAAAATAGAGCTATTTCACATCCATTCATTCTTACTTTTATATTAGATGAAATAAAATAGAAATAAAATGTAAAGTATCAATATACGCATCATTCTTATTATTTCTTATAACTGATAAAATTCAAATTGTAAAGGCACAATATCAGATTCTCTTTGAGCACAGGTAAGCAGGCTCGTGTCTTCATCATTCATTTGCAATTCATTTTAGGGTCACTTTTATGGTATCTCATACCTTAACTCAGTAGCATATTTTTCAGTTCTTATATTGTTTAACCTCTAGATAATATCTGGCAGAGGTATTTACCCCTATTTTTTTACTTCTCCTCAAGACATCATATTTACTGTTATTCTACTTTATTTTTAAGGCCCTTTCTAGTCTCCCTTACAAATTTCTCTTTAATGTGTTAATAATGTTGGACAGACCTAGACTCCCAGATCTACATTCCCAACCTGTGTCTCCCCAGAATTCCAGAATCTTATATCCTCTAGGGGGTGCCATTTCCACAAAGATGCCTAGTAGCTTCAGATTTAACATAGTCTCTTCTCCCCCAAATCCCCACCCCTTATAGTTCCCCATTTCAGGACTGCATTTGCATTCTCAAGTTCCATCTCTCCTGCATTTCCAGTTTCAAAAACTGTCCTTAATCTGAGCCCTTCTCACCTTTAGAGTCTAGTATTTTGCTTTTCTGTAGCCCACTCTTGAATTTCTGCTTTAGCAAATATAAGGTAGAAAATTATGCTTGTCATATTAATGCCTGCCATCAGGAAGAAGATTTTATGCCAAGAAAATTCTGGATCCTAAGGGATTGAAAATACAAAGTAATTATAAATTACAGATTCTATTTTTGTGTTTTGTAACATTTAAAGTATAGTATTATATATATATATATATATATATATATATATAAAACATACATACACACACACACACATATATATATAATAAAGTTTTCATTATAGAGGTCCTTCACATCTTTGGTTAAGTGAATTCCTAGGTGTTTTTTTTTCTTTGAGGCTATTACAAATGGAGTTGCTTTCTGATTTCAGCATCACACTTCTCATTGTTGGCATACAGAAGCTATTGATTTTTGTTGGTTCATTTTATATCATGCTACTTTGCCAAAGTTTTGTTCAACCACTCTGGAAAGCAGTATGAAGGTTCCTCAAAAGGCTAAACAGGCTGGGCACTGGTGGCTCATGCCTGTAATCCTAGCTACTCAAGAGGCTGAGATCTGAGATCTGAGGATCATGGTTCAAAGCCAGCCAGTGCAGGAAAGTCCGTGAAACTCTTATTTCCAATAAACCACCAGAAAACCGGAAGTGGCATTGTAGCTCAAGTGGTAGAGCGCTCGCCTTGAGCTGAAGAGCTGAGGGACAGCGCCCAAGCCCAGAGTTCAAGTCCCACAACCAACCAAAAAAAGAAAAAAAAGCTAAACAGGAAGCTCCTCTATGACCCAGTAATTTCACTCCAGGGCATTTACCTGAATGACCACAAACAAGGCCACACTAAAGCTACCAGCACAACTATGTTCATTGCAGCATTATTTACTATAACAAAGATGTTGACTCAACCCAGATGCCCCTCAGTGGATGAATGGATTAAGAAAATGTGGTATGTTACACAATGTATTTCTATGCTTCTATCAGAAAGAATGACATCTCCCTATTTGTAAGGAAATGGAAAATTTGAAAAAGATCATATTAAGTGAAGCCAGACCCAAAGAAACATAGGCTGCCTGGTTTCCCTTGTTTGTAATAATTAGCATAAGTCTAGGATAGTTCTAGCAGAGGATAACAATAACTCAATAGCTCTGTACATATGACCTTATGAAATGATGCTAATTGAAATGGGACTACAAGATATGGAAACAAGAGGATTTTTTCCCCTTAGTGTAATGCATGCAGTTATTTATTTTTTCTTTCTTTCCTCCCCCTTTGGTTTATCCTCTGTGGTCACTATTTTTTACTACAGTATGCTTTGTACTGTATATAAGTTGATCTGATTTGGGGATGGGAAGGGAAATTACAGAAATGGCGAGACGAAATTCTAAATATGTCTCTCCATTATCCATTTGTGTTTTCATGTATTTGTTATTTGTATCTTATTTCATTCAATGGGATATGAAGCTGAGTTTAATGTGAACATCAATAGCTGCATCTTTTTCTTATTTACATTTGCAAAGGAATGTAAATATTACTCTGATGTGTAATATTTGCTGCAGGAATTTTACAACTACTCTTATGTACTGTCAAGGGACAACTACTTATAGTGTCAAATTTAGTCTCATTTTTTGGATCTGGTTCCATCTTGCCTAATCTAGGTTCTGAACTCTTTTTGCCCCTTGTCCCTCTGAGTTTGTGAAAAGCTCTTTGGGACTTCTCTTCTCAGCTGCCTATTCCAGAAAGAGAATTTTGTTAGGGGAAATTACCCACATGCCACAGTGATGTTGAAAGCTTCTTTCATTTAAGTCTGTTGCCTAAAAAATTCTTGCTACATTTGCTATATCTTCCTACACTGATACCTTGCCTATAAATATAAAACATTTTTGCATGTAGGTAATAAATCCAAACTTCTGTCTGTTCTTCATGGGTGGGTAAATTGAGCCACACCACTCTTTGTCAGTATCAATAGGTGAACTCTTACAGTGTATATAAAAATTCTTTTTCAGTGTATAATTTGATGAGTGATATGAAATATATGAGTGATATGATAGCATATTCTCATAGATTGGGGCTTTCTCTTTGGAAGTGGTCATTAGTACACTTGAAGCACTTCAAGTTAAGTTTTGATATTTTCTGTCCACCTAAATGACTCAAAGCAAACCAATTAAATATTGGTTTATTTTTGTATTTATGTTCACCTTTTTTAAAAAGAAATTTTTGTGCCAGTACTGGGGCTTTGACTTAGGGCCTCAAGTTCTGGCTTAGATTTCTTGCCATACCTTATTAACAGTTGTTTCTATCCAATGACTAATGATTAAAGCATTATCAGCAATTGATTTATAATGAGAAAAATTATATAAACATTTGAAAGAGTGCCTAGTTTGATAAAATTTCTTTTCAAAGGATCCAAACTCATAACTTACCTACTGCTAGCATCTCCTATGCAATTTAACACACACACACACACATTTAACTTTCTCTGTACAATTAATTGGAAAAATAACTATGTATATTTGCATGCCCCTTACCTGGTTAAGGATCAATCCAGTCACAGTAGAAGAAATGAGGGCACCTATCATTCCAATTACAGCTGTAACTGCTTTAAGAAATCCATAATATCTGGGCCAAAACAAAGAATATATTAACATTGTTATGCTATTTTTCTTCTACCTTATTTTTTCCATCCAATTTTTTTTGGGGGGGTCTGGTCATGGGGCCTGAACTCTGGACCTGCATGCTGTCCCTCAGCTCTTCAGCTGAAGGCTAGTGCTCTACCACTTGAGCCACAGCATCACTTCTGGCTTTTTTTCTTTTTGCTTATGTGGTGCTGAGGAATTGAACCCAGGGCCTCATTCATGGAAGGCAAGCGCTCTACCACTGAGCCACCTTCCCAGCCCTCATCCAATTTTTAAAAACTTAAAACACCTTTAGAGTCTCTAAAATATTCAGGGTCCTAGGCATTGTGTGTTTTGTACAATAAGTACAGTTGTCCAGTTAGACCTATATTTCCAGAATCTTTTGTCACTAAATGTGGCTGCAGAACTAAATTTAGGCTGTTTTTGGATATGAGGAGAAATAATGTGTTTTTCTCCATCTCCTTCTTAAAGCTATTGCTTGTTATAGACTTCTTCCATCTTTCCAGGGCCACATGCTGAGAATAGTGAAACTTTTCCCACTCGGAGCCTTTGACAACTTATTTCTAGATTATTTGATAAGGGTATATAAGCTATTTCATTTGATCGTTTTACTTTAAAGTCACTTTGTTGAAGCTTTGTTCATGAAACAGTGCATTGACAAATTGTTTAAGGAAAAGCATAGAGATAAAAAATGCATTATTATTTAAGAAACGTGACAGTAAATGACCTGAGCACCCAATTCTAGAACTGATGTTTATATGGTCTTTTTGTGAAAGACAACTTAAAATATTTATAAAGAATTTATGAAAGTTTTGTTTTCTAAATTCTTCATTTGGACTATTGCTTAGAAGAAACTCCATGTTTTATATGCTGTTTTTAAAAAAAATTACCAATTGCTACTCAGTGACTTTTAACTTCCTTTTTATATGTTTTTCTATGTACCACCATGCCTGGTTTGACTTTTCACTTTCTTAATGGAATATTTTAATAGATAGTTGGCAATTTTAACCATATAAATATAATATAATACAATATATTAAACATAACAATATATATTCAAGATAATATTATATTTAATTTTATGTATATCTAGGTATCTGTTTAGAAATAGTGCACTGAGTACAGTTGTATAAACCTCTGGGGACAGCATCTGGGATGTTAAAACAGGAGAGATGTAAGTTTAAGATCACCCTGGTCTACAAAGACTTTGTCTCCAATGAAAAAATTTTTTTAACTTAGGAAAAAACAGAGGATGTTATCTGAATGGTAGATTTCTTGTTTACCAACAGTTCAAATCTGTGTTCAATCTCTATTACCTTAAAAAATAAAAGGAAGAAATCATGGATTACCTCAAGTCACAGAACAGGTTTATGCTTACATTATTTTCAGACTTTTATTTTATAAACAATCTAACTGAAAATGTTTCTCTCTTTTTGACATGTAGTAGGAATAAAGATTCTTTTGTTTTTCCATTATTGATAGTTTCCTGACTCAGCACCAAGTATTTGAATGGCCACCATTTCATTAAAGTTATTTAGTATCTATCAAAATTATTACACATTTTTGGTTTTTCCTGATAATGTCTGAATTCATTACTTTATTTACAAATGTTAAACAATGTTTTTGCATTTCTATAATAGATGCTACTGGTATGTCATGTATAACTTTTTATATATTACCAGATTAAACATTAACATTTTCATTGGTACTTTAAAAATCAATTTATATGAAAGAGCTTAGTTTGTTATTTTCCTTTCTTGTAACAACATTGTAAAGTTGTGCTATCAAAGGGCTAGCTGACTACCATGAATTGGTGGTCTCTTTATCCATAATTCGGGAAGATAGGCCAAGTACTTCCTGAGTAGCTAGGATTATTAGCATGAGCCATCAGTGCCTGGCAATACAGTAATAATATAGTTATCATTTAAGGCAAAAGATAAATGACCCCCATGTTTTCAGTTAATACTTGATGCAAAGACAAAAATCACAAATGAAATTCCCAGAATTGGAAAAAAAAATAGCAGAATTTGCAGCTCTTTTCTCAGAGGTGGTGTCCATTAGTGGTTTGGGTCTTAGTGACCTTGACTGCTTTCTGCTTTTTTTTTTTTTGGCTAGTTCTGACCCTTGAACTCAGGGCCTGGGCACTGTCCTTGAGCTTCTTTTGCTCAAAGCTAGCACTTTACCACTTGAGCCATAGCACCTCTTCTGGCTTTTTCTGTGTATGTGGTTCTGAGGAATTGAACCCAGGGCTTCATGCATGCTAGGCAAGCACTCTCCCATCTTTCCAGCCTGCTTTCTGCTTTTTTATCTAGACTTTTCAGTTTTCCAGCTGAAATTAGGCAAAAATTTCCCCATCCCATTTGAAGTTTTCAACTTACTTTACAGTTGTTAAGACACTGTTAGATTTATAACTTAGAATATCATCTAGTAGACTAAAATCATTGTGCAATATCCCTTTGTTTCTAGAATGGTATCTTGAAACAAAGTCTATATTTTTTCTTATAATCTTTCTATTGTATGTATTTGTTTTTATTCCAGTCTCATTTAATCTTTTTATATTTCACGTTTTTCTGATATATTTGACTTAAAATGATCTTTATTGTTCCTATGTAACTATTTACTTTTTTTTGCAGGTCCTGGGGCTTCATCTCTGAGCCTGGTATTCTCCCTGAGCTATTGCTCAAGAATTGCTCTCTACCACTTGAATCATAGCTCTACTTCAGGCCTTTTGTGGTTAAGAGTCTCATAGACATTCCTTCCTGGGTTGGCTTTGAACTGCAATCCTCAGATCTTAGCCTCCTCACTAGCTATGATTACAGGTATTTCGCTGTTATTTTAATTGCTTCTCTTCTACACAGTTACTATCCTTCAATTGATTCCCTCTCTCTCTCTTCTTCTCTCTCTTTCTTTCTTTCTCTGTCTCCCCCCCCCCCCCACACACACACACATATACATACTGATGCCTAATATAAATGAATAATTTGACATATAGCCATTAGTGCGATATCATGTATTCACTTAAATTACTTATACTCTACCAACTATTTTGTACTGTTTGTTTGTACTATTGTATTTATAGTGTATATTATATGTACTTTATACTTTGTAAGTACCACTATTTTGTTTTGTGCATTTAGTAATTATTAGTTTTTTCCTAGTATTTTCTTCTCAATTTCTTTTCATTTGTGTCTTTGCTTCACTTTACTTCTGCCTAAAGAATTTCCATGTCGTAATTCTTTGGTTGGAGGTTTGTAGATGAAAGCTCTTCGTTTGACTTTAAATTCTCTTGTTTTATCATAATTCTTGAAGGATTAATTCTTTGCTGGATTTAGACTTGTAGCTAATAGGGATTTTCTTTTGCTTTTAGAAATGCCAGTTGAATGGTTTCTGGCTTTCATTGTTCGGCTGTGAAGGCAGCTGTCATTCCTATCATTTTTGTTTGGAAGAAGTGTATGTTTTCTATGTCCATGTGATTTTAGATCTCTATTTTCTCCACATACCAGTCTCTAGTAATTTTATTCTGATGAATAAAGATCTTATTTTCTTTGTAGTTCTCCTATTCTTAAAATTGCTGATGATATTTTAGTGGCTGTGCTTCCTTCACAGATTCAGAGACATTCAGAGTGCTGCCACTCTGAACAGAGATTTCACTGCTTTTTCCATGAATAGTATTTGCATTCTGTGGTCAAAGATATAAACAATCCTCAGTGTCAAAAATTTTGAGTGCTATAACTCCTCTGAAAATCATTATACATATACAAGATAGAGTACTTGTTCAATTATTAGAGTAGAAATTGAGAGCTTTGTAAGCCCTATACCTAACACCTTTCATGTCCCTAATAAGTGGCTATTAGATACGGAAAACATAAGACGGTTTTCTGGATAATCCTCTTAATCTTTAGCTGCAGCAGTTCATGATAAAAAGCATTTTGTAAGCGTGCAGTGGTGTTACAATTTTATTAATTTTTATACTTAGGTATGGTATGATTGAATAAAATATGAAAAAACTCAATTATCTGAGCTATGGTCTGTCAAATGTGGTAGGGATAGGGGAATTCAAGGATGTGTAATCCATTGACCAGTCAAAAACAACTAAAATTAATTAAAATATTTGTAGCAGCCTTCCTCCAACAAGAAAATGACAGACTTTTTGATCCATCACAGAACATCTTAAGAATCCATTGTTTAATTCCACTATTGATATTACCCAAAGAGATGGCAAAAATTACAAGTGGAACCATCATATGATCACATACTCTCACTTTTAGATGCATTCAAAGGCAATGAAATCAGTATGGCAGAGGGATATCTGCACTTACATGTTCATTGCAGCATTATTCAAAATGGACATGATAGAAAACATTTCAAATATCATTGATAAATAGATACAGTAAATGTGGTGCATATACAAAATGACATAGTAGTCAACCTTTAAAAGGAAAGAAATCCTGTCATTTGGAGCAGGACATTATTCAAATGAAATAATTCAGGCACAGAAAAATTCCACATAATCGCACATACAGTTGAACTCCCCAAAGCTGAGAGTAGAATGCTGGTTACTACAGTCTAGGCATAGATGGGAGGTGTTGTTTAGAGAGATGTTCATTAAGTGACATGAAATTTAGGTTAGATAGGAGGAGTAGGTTCAAGCAATCTATTGAACAACACTGGTTAATAGCAAGGTATAGTATTCTTAAAAACTGTCAATATGGTAGATCTTGATTTCTCTCACCAAAAAAATGGTAAGTATATGCAGGAAGGAATATGCTAATTAGCTTCATTTAATCATTCCACAATGCAGCCATACTATACATAATAAATGCACACAATTTATTTGTAATGAAAAATAAATTTCAGGGAAACCTACCTTGGAGCAATATCCAAAGCATTTATAAGTGGTCCAGCTAAGCAAAAGCTGGTTGTGGCATTAGCCAGTGTCAGGAAAATGATAGTGCTATAAAAGTTGAAACTCAGGTAAAGCAGGCACATACTGAAGATCACAGGAGAAAGAATTCCTGGGAAATGAGTTTGACAACAATATTAGGCTCATGCTAAATATGGGGATGAAGTATCCTCTAAGTATTTGAATATCCTAGCTGTTCCTTACCTAGTATGGTGAAGAGTTTCCGGATGGTAAGCAAGTTGAAAATATTCCTGGATAGGAAGTAGTCTGACATATGACCTGCTAGGAGACCACAGATGCAGGCAAACAAATAAGGGAGGCCAGACAGCAGCCCATTCTGAAGAGGAAATGTTATTTGGAAAATGGGGTGATGGGTAAAGCAGTATCACACACAATAATCTTTTCACCAAGTTCAGTATCTACAATGTGTACTTTCTAAAATTATTGGCATACACCATCAGATTTCCTGCTGGGGTCTCATGACCCTATGTAAAAAGAAAAATAGTTTTGAGGTCAGTTACATTTGTCACAATCTATCTATATTTTACTTTTACATTCACGAGACCTGAAAACTTTGGGAAATCAGGAATAGTATATTAGGAACAAGAAGTGCTAGCCCCGGGGAAATTTGCACAGATAATAATGGTGACCGTCTCTTGCTCTAAATCAGCCATTGTAAATCCTTACAACAACTACTTGGTTTCACAGAAGATAAAATGGAGACAGTGAAAATTTACAGGACCTCAGTGCTATACTAGTTCCTAGCCTGTGGAACTGGTTCATTACACAGAGGGTCAAAGTGGCAAGCTCAGATTCCATTTCTAAGGAAAATTTTCCCTGGCTATTTTAGAATCAAACAACAGGAAGTTTAAAGAATCAGTGACTCTCCATGTCAGAAAAGCAGTGAGAGTATTAGTCCTTTCAGAGTGAGACTCAGTCATGGATTTATCACCCAATGTTCAGTGTATTACCTAAGAAGAGAGCATCGGTAAGAGCTGACCATAGTGGCAGGGCCTAGGCAAGTGATTTTCTTAGAATGACTCCAGTGCCTGAAGGGAATGTTGGTGTTGACTTAAGTAACATATAAGGGCAAGCATACACTGAAAGGAGGTAGGAGATACATGAGAACCAACATGAATGTGTATTATTGGTGGAGTACCAGACATTATATTTATAACAACATCCTCTGTTGTAGACAATGTTTCCAAAAATCTCAAAACCATGAGCCTCTAGGGAGAGAGCACTAGATAAACAATGTAGGGAACAGGAAGGAGCTCAGACTTTTGGTCATTAGAGATAGAAAGAAGTAGAGTTCTTCACAAAGTTGCAAATGAGGACAAATGATATACTTACCTTTTTTATATCAACATGAAGCTTGGTGCTGATAAATGTTGGCGTATATGTAACCAAGAGGGTATTTGTCCATATAAAAGCTGAACCACTCAAGAATATGGCCCAGAGTGGAAGAGACTTAAGCATAGCCTTGATTGGTAGAGATTGCCTACTTGAGCTGGCCTGGAAAACAAATAATTGCTCATTGTCAAAAGATAATAAGATAGGACTTGCTTTGTTTGGAGTGGGACGTAGGAGATGTCAAAACAGAGCACTGTGTTCTACCTGCTGGGCGAGAGAAGATATGATGTATTCTTTTTCACTGATGCTTATACATGGGTGATCCTTGGGGTCATCATAAACCAGAACGAACCAGATAAGACATAGAACACAGCCACAAGCACCTATAAATGAGGTACAAGTTATAATCGGAAATTTCTCTCTATAACACCATGGAGTTTCTCTTTCTCAAAAGGGCATTTTGTGTGTGCATCTATCTGAGAACCTAGATGTCCTTTTCACTGCAAATAAGGCTCAAAATTTTTCCTTGCTCTGTTAGTCCTCACCTTTATAGAAATGGTAGTCAACCTCCTGGCCTTTACTGACTGCTAGCTTTTGCATTTCTCCAATTATTTGACCTCTCTTGGGCCCTTAACTTTTCAGATTCTGCATTGGTTCCATGATAAGAAAAATGGAATACCTGGGCCAGCTGTGGCTTGATAATCATTCAGATTTGAGAGCTCAGCCTTACCAAGTTCCTGAGATATAACCCAGGCTTCAGAGATTATTCAAATCCTATAAATATGTACCAGATCATCTGTTGGTTTTTTTTTTTTTGGGGGGGGGGGTCTGGTTGTGGGGCCTGAACTCGGACTGGACGCTGTCCCTCAGCTTTTCAGCTCAAGGTTAGTGCTCTACCACTTGAGCCACAGCGCCACTTCCGGCTTTTTTCTTTTTGCTTATGTGGTGCTGAGGAATCGAACCTAGGGCCTCGGGCATGTAAAGCAAGCACTCTACCACTGAGCTACCTTCTCAGCCCTGTTGGTTTTTTTTTTTTTTTAACATTTTACATTAACAATCTCATAATAGAGAATCTTAGAATAGTTTGTAGTATTTGTACTTAGTTTTGGAGAAATACATTCATTTATTTTACAAATATGTTTATTATGTACATCACTATTCTAGATCTTGAGCAAACAGCAGTGAATAAATTAACCCAAATCTTTGGTTCTGAGGAACTGACTTTTTCAAGATGATGAGAAAGAGATGATTTTTTTTACAGTCCTCAAATTTCATATGGTATTGTCATTATATCTTATTCAGAATGAGATACAAATATTATCTACTTGAGGTAATAAATGGTAATTGTGTGCTAATTGAGCCATAAGCATTATATTCTCTAAGGAGCTAGAGGAGGAGGCTGGGGTTGAGCTGTGAAGTGAATCAATACTTAATATGGCAAGGAAAAAAGGTTAGATCATTAAAAAAAAAACAGAAGGAATGGTTTTAAAGACAAAGTTCAATGAATGTAGGACAGAGTCTAATGAGACTGATGACCAAACCTGGAAACAAGAGTCAGAAGAAAGTGCTAAACATAAAAAAAAATTGTACTACATTGTACTGTAAGTAAAAAATGTCCTTAAAAGGAAGTAAGATGGCAGCCAAACAATAAGGAATTGCTCTAGCTCTATCTAACCAAATAGACATTTGGGTTCCTAATACATACTGCTCCCCAAAAGATCACCACCAACAACAAATATATAAACAAGCAGAGATCCAGTACACTGGATCCAAGAAGAAATACTTCTAGAGACATCATAGTAAAAAACATTAGGTATGAGTAACAAGGAACTGAGCTATATTATAATGGAAAGAAAATCAGAATCACTGCAGACCTCTCCACACAAATTCTCAATACAAGGAAAACCTGGAATGGTATAATCCAACCACTGAAGATCAACAACTGCCAACCCAAACTGATCTACTCAGTGAAGTTATCATTTACATTTACAAAACCTTCCATGACAAACAAAAATGAGAGGAATTCATGATCACTAAACCAGCATTACAATGAATTCTAAAGGAAGGAATACAATCTGAAGAAAACAATCAAGAAACACATCAGACAAAAGTTACTAGAGGATCAAATTAGTAAACACAGGGAGAAAAAGCAAAATACAAGAAATCAACAAAATGGCAGGAAATATGACATATCTCTCTATAATAACCCTACATATTAATGGACTCAATTCTCCAATCAAAAGAAAAAGAATAGCAGATTAATCAAAAAACAAGATCCATCCAATGATTGAATTCTGTTTTGTGTTATTTGTTAAATGATTAATGCTTCTACTAATTATGAAATATGTATTTTAATATATTACCTATATATCATTTATTGAATAAATGAAAGATATTAATTTCTGATCTTAGATAAAAGAATTCAGATACAGACAAAATAGCATATCTTTAAATATACAGAACCATCAAGAATGTCATAAAGGCCATCAAACTAACCTATAATAGAAAATAGCCCTATTGCAAGAGGAAGGAGGAGGAAGAAGAGTAAGAGGAGAAGGAGGAGAAGGAGGAGGAGGAGGAGCAGGAGGAGGCGGAGGAAGACAAGAGAAGGAGGAGGAGGGGTCCCAAGCATAGGGTCTTTGCTTCCTCCATCACCCCACAAAAAGTATATATAGTATAATTTTTAAAAAAAATTACCAGCCTCCCCCAAATGTATGTCTTTGATATGACCAACAAAGAATTAGTGAGCTTGAAAAAATGCTAATGCATATTTCTAAAAGTGAATTGCAAAGAATCTGACAAAAACAAATAAAGGACCATGAAAAAAATAAAATATCCAAGAACTATGGAGCAATTACAAGAATAACATACATGTAGTGATAATATCAAAAGTAGAAGAGAAAATAGAACAAAGTAAATATTTGAAGCAGTAACAGTAAACTATACATAATGGAAGCTTAGAGAACACCAAGAAGGATAAATACCCAAAACTTTGCACCAATATGTATCATATTCAACTTGAGCAATAATCATCTCCCTAAAGGAAGACATTGTCTTGAGATGTAAAACACCATCTACTTAGATTTATTTAACATTATTGGCAAGGACAAATAATTTAGATTTATTTAACATTATTGGCAAGAACAAATAATTTAAAAATCTATATTAGATTTAGTTTTGCCTACTCCAAAATGACAGGCAGATCATTTGACATCATATGCTCTAGTAAAAAAAATATGTTGCAGATCCATAAGTCACTGCCACTTAAGTCCTATTCTCTCTTCTCAGCAATAAGGAAAAGGCATATGAGACACTGTACTGTAAAGCTGTTGTCACAGTATAACATATACTGCTTTCCTTTGAGTTTCTTGGACCCTCCTGTGGTAACTGCAATTCACTTTCTAGTATAAATGATGTTGGAATATCGATACAACACGAATACCGAAGGTCATCCAACATGAATACCGAAGGTCATGCAACATTTGATCAGCATCTTTGGGGAGGTATTAAAACTTTTTCTGGCATGAGACTGAAACTTTATGTCCCTGTAATTTCTGCACTTTTGATTTAATTTTTTTAGCACCATTAGAATTTGAATTTAGACTATGTGCTTGCTAGGCAGGCACTCTACCACTTGACCCATGCTGTAGACCCCTTTTTGAGATAAGATCTTCCGTTGCACTCAGGACCAGCCTAGACCACACCCTCTAATTTGATCTTTCCTGTGTATCTAGGAAGACAAGCTCATACACTGTGCCCAGCCATTGTGTTTTCCCTGTAGCCAGGATGGCAGGTGCATGCCAAGTATTCAGCCATTGACATGGAGTCTAACAAAGTTTTTCCTTTGACAATGATTTTAAACAACAATCTTCCAATATCTACCTCTCAACTAGCTAGGATTACAAACTTGAGTTACTGTGCCTGGCTTCTATTTAGTTTTTAACTGAAGATCAGGCCTGAATTTCTCTCAAAATACAAGACTTCTAGGTAAGACAGTCTCAGCTGTTCAACCAATTTCATGATACAGGGTTTGTGTCCTATTTCTACACTGTCTATTCCTTGCTACTGATAACCAATGTGGATATTAAGAGAAATGGCATTTTGAAGTGTGGAGTGTTTTCACATTATGTCTCACTATGTGAACTGGAAGTTTTCTGTGTATTCCCCTCATCTACTTTCCTTCTCCCTTCACAAATTTGAGAATGACATTAGAAAAAGTAATTTTATAATTCATTTTGGTAGCATCAATTCTTAACTTTTTTGTTGTATTCCAATTTGTGTAGCTAATTTTTTACTGAAGAAATTAATGGGTTTGATTATAAAATAAGTGCTGCAGATAATTCTTGGGGTATTAAGTATAACTAGTACATAATCTTTCAGAAATCTGAGAAGTTAATTATGCCTTGTTTGTAATAAAGTTGTTTGAATGTTGGTGCCGTGTTTGAATGTTTTTACTCTTTCCTATTGTGAAGCTTTTCACTTTTAATATTGACTCATATATAAAGTGTTTTTGTTTTATTTTTTCTTCTTAAATTCTGACCAATATTATGAGAAGAGACTCACCAAAAATATAGAAGACCATGGGCCAGCCCAGAAGATCACAGATGAATCCAGACACAAGCATGACAATGAATGGTGCCAACAGGAACCCTAATCAAAAGGCACCAAAAACAAAGCCCCATTAAATTAATATAAGCATTTGAAGGAAGGAATGTATCTTTGCTATAGTAAGGAACAAGTTCCTATGAAATAAACGTGTTAGCTTAACATTTATCAAAAGGAAAGGATAAAATATTTACTTTTCTCCCTTCTGCTGTAATGCTTGATGTAAGCATGCCTCTTTCCATTCTAAACCATTTCCCTATCTTTAAAGGATGAATAAGGAATAGATGTTTCCAAAGTCCTTGATAGTTCAAAACATACGTTTCTCATGGCATGTGAAAAGAACATGGCACCATGATATGAAATGGAACTTCAACTATTCTAGACCTTAACTCCTTACCTGATAAACAAATAGAGGTAAGTCGGCCTCGTTCTAGGGGAGGAGCCCACTTAATCCACATTTCATGCTGTGCTGCTGTTACTGTCCCCTGTAAGAGGAAAATGAGGACATTTTACTTCTGATGGTTACTGTGAATCTAAATCTTTTTAGTTGCACCTTATCTTAATACCTGAGCCATCCCCTGGGCTACTCGACACACAATAATCAAAGTCTTGCCAACTTGAGCTGCTGGTGGAGTGAACAGGGAGAGCACAGAGCTGAAGAACAATGCAGAGCCAACCATTTTCTTTATAGAGTATATTCCAGATAAGTACCCAACAGGAAGTTGGACTGCAACTGCTCCATAGAAGATGGAACTGAAGATGATGCCCTGGATATCAGGGCTCCAGTTATATACAGGATTCTGAAAGAGAATGGGAGACATATCAAACCATAAAGTTATATGGGAGTGATATTATGTGATATTTAGGGATTCAAGTAGTATGGTCTTTCTGATCAACCCATGTAAAGTTACTACTTTCTCCCTACTTATTTTTTTGTCACAGGACCACTTTCATTCTCTTATAATGTATATAGATGGTTGATATAGAGCTAGAGGGATATATGTATATATTTACATATACATATGTTTATATGTGTATATACTATAAGAGAATAAAGCTATATATACACTATATATACTTATATACATATACACACATACACATTATAAACATTACATAGCACCATGCATTCTGCAATCACTTCCTCTTGCCTTTTAGCTTCCTCTAACTTCCTTCATTAACTTGAGCTCATTTACAAAATAATCTTTCCCCAAATATACACTGTTCCCAGGGAGGAAATGGCAGAGAGAAGATCAAAGCATGAAGAGTCTTCAGTCTGAGGTATGGATGGGTCAATAAAAGAAAAAGACCACATCTCTTCATATGTATGCTTGGCTCTCATGTACTTTATTTTTCCCAGAAGTGGATTCCCTTGTCAATTTCTAATTAGGAGGCCTCTACAGTTTCATTACATTTTTCAAGTTGATAAAAGAAATTATGACCTTGGTGTTGGGACTAAGAAATAGGTTGTATATATTTATAGACATACAGTTCTAGAAGACAACGTTTCTATGGAAGTGTCTAAACTTTCTGTTAATTGCATGATTAAGAAGACCATATCAGAAATTAAAGTTTTCTGACTAAAGAGTAAGTGTGATTTTGGTTCATAGTAAATAAGGAAATAGGAATCAGTCTATTTGATCTTTTGTTACACTTACCTGGTCCTTTGTATTTATCTATTTTTCTTCCTTTCTCAAGTCCCTATCATCTTATTATAGCTGTTTTCTATTGAAGGCAATGTCACTGCTAAATGGAGATGGACTTTCATGGGGAGATTTGGTAGGAGTGCCAGTAGAGGGATAGTGAATGATAATGGGTAAGGTGCGTCCATATAGTAGCTAGGGGATCAAGGAGGCTGCAGATATTTTTTAATTGTGGAAGAGGGGGTACCCAGAGAATGAAGCAGAATGTCCTGCCATGTTTTTCTAAATCACTGGGAGCACTAGGGAAATTATTATATACACTTCTCTACATCAAGTGTGCCAGAAATCATTTACCCAACTTCCCATGGGTATATAAACAGATCACTCAACACCTCTTTATCTTATGGAGTAGCATCACTTTCCACAGCACAGCATGGAAAAAGAGCCCACCTAATGGATTGAAACCACCAAGCTTAGACTGAAATGTATGCATATCAGAAGGACAATCTTCAATGAGTATTTCTCTATCCAATGCATCAAGTAGTTATCATTGAACAATATACTACATATGTAAATATATAAATTACCCTATAGAAACCTTAAGGATACACATACCTACATTTGTATGGGTATATATAAATTAATAGGAAATATACAGTTATCTCAATACGTAAGATATGTCACATGCTTATTTATGTCATTACTTGCAAGAAAGACCTGGATTTGAGCTTCTTTTTCTAGTTACCATTGCATTATCAATAACATTTACTCTCTACACAAATTAGCTAACCAGACAGGATTTTAAACTTAGGACTTAAAGTTGTATCCTTGATATACCTTTACATAATCCAGCTCTGTTTTTGTAGATGTGTTCGTCAAATCCTGAGGATCTGTCATGTTCACCATAGCCACCATTGTAAGGCTCAGACATATGCGCTGGGCCATTATTACAAAGTTGCAGGCATGCAGAAGGACAGCCAGGCAATAGCGAATGGAACAAAACCCTGGAACTTGAGACAGAAACAGAAAGCTTTACTTATTAAGACAGTTGAGGTGAAAATGCTCTTTAACTTTAAGAAAGACCACCCAGAAATTTGGAGGCCTTAATAATGAATTAAAATTGTATTATACTAATGGTTTTTGAGAAATTATAATATAATAGGAAGGTGTGTAAAAATCTCACAGCCCAGTAAATTATAAGTCCAATTACAATGTCTCAGGAAATTAATCTCATATTTATTTTAAAAAGACTCGAGCTGGGTACCAGTGACTCATGCCTGTAATTGTAGTTACTTAAGAGGCTGAGAGCCGAGAATCATCGTTTAAAGTCAACTTGGGCAGGAAAGTCTGTGAAGTTCTTCTCTACAATTAACCACAAAAAACAGTAAGTGGAGCTGTTCCTCAAGTGGTAGAGCACTACTAGCCTTGAGGACAGAAGCTCAAGGACAGAGCCCAGGCCATCAGTCCAAGCCTGGCACTTGTACATGTGCACGTGTGCACACACACACACACACACACACACACACACACACACACACACACACACAAATTAACTACCAAAAATCCAGAAGTGAAGCTGTGGCTCAAGGGGTAGAGCACTAACCTTGAGTGAAAAGAGTAGGGAAGAGCCTGGGCTCTGAATTTAAGCCTCAATATGAGCACATGCATGCACATGCATGCACACACACACACACACACACACACACACACATACCTCAACAAAAGCCTAGGCTTTCTCTTCTTTTTAACAACAACAAACATATCTTTTCTTAAAACAAACAAAATCCCTGTTCTGTTCTCCAAATTTATAAGAATACTCCGGTTGAGAAACATTTCCCAATGGAAAGAAATGTTCATTAAGAAAATATAATTCCTTCCTGAGATAGATATCAAGCTAGAGTAATGAATAGTGTTAGTGTAATGCCAAGGAAATACACCATTGGAAGAAAGTAGGGAGTCAGAAATATTTAGGGTTAAATGTTTTTGAGTAAATATGCAAATATAATTCAGCAGAGGAAAGTAAAGTCTGTTTCAGTGAACAGTACTTTCTCAAGACAAATATGAATGTATGCTTACGAAAAAGACCTTCACATAAAGTTTATAGCTGCTTTATTCAAAACTACTGAATGTTTTGAAAGAATAAACATATGGTGTAACACAAGGCATATTTGTCAGAATTAAAATGGAAGGAACCACTGTTGCACTCAACAATCTGGATGATTCTCAACAAAAACATTCTCAGCTGAACACGCTAGACTCCAGAGACTGCATATTATAACTATCTATTTTTATGAACTTCAAAAACAGAGAAAATGAATCTACCTGGCCTCCACCATCTCCAAAGCCAGCAGAGGGAAGCTCCCTGATGTTCCATTCGTGTCACACGTTGAATCCCTCTAACTGCTTCCACTCTGACCTCTAGACCCACACTTAAAACAACCACGTGACTCAATCAGTCTCACCTTTCCCCCTATTTAAGATCAGCTGAGGCTGGTTACTACAGGCAGGCCTATAATCCCAGATACACAGGAGGTAGAGATCAGGAGAAGCATAGTTTGAGCTTAGCTTGGTTAGAAAGTGAGATTCCCTTCTCAACTATAAGAACCTAGATGCTTGTCATCACACAAATGTAGAGTGTGTAAATAGGAGGATCAAGATTCTGGACACCCTCTCTCAAATAAAAGTATAAAGGCCTAGGAGTATGGTACATGTGGTAGAGTATCTTCCTAGCAATTGTGAGGCCATGAGTTCAAACCCCGGTACAACCAAAAAGAAAAGAGAAAGATCAGCTGTGGTCAGGCACAAATTTATCTTTTTATGATTACTTTGTGTGGAGAGTCCTTCTCTTCTAGTTGTCCATAAACTAGTTTGGCTAGTTTTTCTCAACAACACATCTATTACAAACAAGTAAGCGTATTGGCTAAAATAAAGTTAAAATAAGTCATTTAAATTATTAATTAATTCATTTAAAGTATGAGTAATATGTCAGGAAAGATAAACTAGAACAAGCCCATAGTGACCATAAGATCCTTAAAACACAAGATGAGCACTGAAAACAGATTTTGCTATGAAGATATTTGATCTTATGAAAGAGGACAAAAGGAGCAAAACACTAGAACCCTAAAAATGGGAAAGTACAATATGAGGGCCTCTTCCAGAATGATTACATGCCAAAGAATTCCTGGGTCAATGATAACCACTTTGAGCAGAGAGCTGCAAAAACTATTTGTGCTTAAGTGACCCCTGGAGCAGAGCAGAAGGAGGAAAAATGCCCCTGAGAAATTAATCATCAGCTAGCTCTTTCTTTAATGTGGAACCTAAATCCAGCCTTGAGGACCTTTGAAGAAAAAAAAATCTCAAACCATACAGAAGTATGTGCACATACTACAAAAAGAAAAAGCTTAGTAAATTTTCAACCAATTGTTATCCAAAGATGCGGGGACTCAAGTGTATCATGCTGCCTCTCTTCCTTCCACAGATCTGGGTCCTTCTTGAGGATGCAGCCTGGTATTCTCCACCAAATGGCAAACTGAGACATGTACAATGGAAATAGCAACTCATTTAAAGTGTTAATAACCAGAGTATACAGAAGCTTTTTAGTTAGGGATTTTCTGATTTTTTTTTTTAAATCTCCTTTCTTGAACATTTCTAAGAATTTTTATGTTTTTCCCCACAGAAAAATTCTTTCACATGGCATATATAAGCTATATAATTGGTATTTTATTGAAGAAGAACTTTACAGTATGACTAAGAGTAGAGAGCTACCTTTCTTGGGACGGAGCTGGTGATCCATTTGCTGCTGTGGCTTCTCTTCTTGTTGATGAATTTGGTTCCCATCCACTGTGGGTACAAAGACACTGGTATCAGTGCAATGTAGGGTAGCAACTCACCAAATCCCACCCAGTACTCCCCTGATGTAAAACCTGCATCAAAGGGCAGTTTGCTCTATTATACCAATGCCCTTTCACCTCCACTATGTGTTGCCTCTGACATTTCACTTGTATGATGTTTTTGGGTTATAGAAAGTATACAGAAAGCCTGCATATACACTAGCCTGGGTGCTAGTGGCTCATGTCTCCAATTCTAGCTACTCAGGAGGATATCTGATTATCCTGGTTTGAAGCCAGCTTGAGAGAAAAAAGAAAGTTGATAACATTTTTATCTCCTATAAATCAGCATTAAGGTGGAAACGGAGGTGTGGCTCGAATGGTAGAGTGCCCACCTTGAATGAAAAAAGTTAAAGGACAGTGCCCAGATTCTGAGTTCAAGCCCCCCTACCAGCAAAAGGAAAAAAAGAATATAGAAAACCTGGAAACCATAGAAAAGAAACATCTCTCTTAGCCCAAAATATTATATACAGTGATGATATCGCTCAAAAGGGAAGGGAAAGACACAGACTTTATTAAACAGAAATTGAGGGACCTCATTACCAAGCAGACCTTTCCAATAAGAAATACTAAAGAAGTCTTCAAGCAGGAAGACTGCCATTGGTTAAAAACTTGTACCATACCAAAGAGAAGAACAAATAAATGTGAAATAAGACTTCTGTATATTAATACATCTATTTGCTTTTTCATATCGCTCTCTTGCAGGGGAGAAAATAATTCTGCACATCCCTGTGTGGCCCTATGGATAGCTTCAGCTTCTCTGGATAAAGAAACTTCTATAGCTAACTCTGTACCTGCCAGTCTCAGTGATGAGGCTGAATTAGAAGGAAAGCAGCCTTCTATCAGGCAATCTCTTATCATTAGAATTCAATGGCAACATGGATTTGGCCAATCTAGACTTTGAGATTTGACTGTATTAGTTTTTGTGACACTAGATCCTAAGACTTAGATTGCAAAATATTTTTGAATGAGCATCATTGTTCCATTGGAACCTCTTTGGACCTGCTGTTTATCCTAACACTCCCCTCCACATACCACACCAATGTACCCCACTCATACTATCCAGAGATACTTATAAACCATATATAAATACACAACTCCCACATACACACAGCTTATATAAACAGTCTAGGTCCCTCTCTTGTTTGGCATATATCCACTTAATAAACACCACACACACACACACACAAACAGACACACACACGCACACACACACCAAACACACAAATGTAATAAGACGTACATATTATGTATGCATGTACAAATTGCACACTACAGACCAGATACACAACACCCTCACATCCCATGCACATAGCTTACCACATACATGAAAGACACACTTATTCCCACACTTGACCACTAACACACCACACCACTTATACATAACACGAGAGCCACACGTTTTTCTGTGTCCTTATGCACAATTATTTACTCCTAAAATGTTGTTTTTCTTACCATATACAAAGCCTCAGAAAAGAGACATCTTTTTTCCCCAAACTATCCCCATACGATTAAATATCTTCAGTAAGATCAGGAAAGGACTACCCCCCCCCCAAGTCCTCAGATTTCATTGTTAATTTCATTCAGCATTTCATAAGAGTACCACTAACCTGATTCAGAATGAAACAGCTATTCCTCTTTCTCCTGACTTTTCACTCAGCTTAACATAAAACTGAATTCTGAATTCTGAATTGCTAGCTTCACCTGTAAATCCTATACCAAGTCCTTTGACCTCATCATGCCAAAGCTAATAGTTTAATTTTTAACTTTATGTTCACCCTTGTCTTGAGTCTTCTGAGGAGACATATGAGTCTTCAAAAAAAATCCATGGAACTAGAAGCTTCTTCGGAATTTGTTAGCAATTTCATAGTTTATTAAACAGATACCTTTAATCTCTAACTTTATCCAGGAGGTAGAATTTTCCTTCCAAAGGATTTTTTAAAATATTGTCAAGGTGATATTCATAAGGGTTACAGTTACATAAGGTAGTGAATACATTTCTTTTGTTATACCCTCCCTCATTTTTCTCCCACTTTTCCTCCCCTTGACCCTCCCCCAAGTTGTACAGATCATTTCCAACATATTGTTTTATATCACTGTTGCACTGGTTCCCAACCCCCTTGTCCTTGTCTCATGGTCCCAGTATCCAATGCTAAAGCTTTCATGACCTTCTAAATGCCCTGCAAATGTCCTTTACTTTCTCCCTTTCTTTCTTCCCTCACAGCTTCTTTCCTTCCTTTCTTCCTTCCTTCTTCCCCTCCCTTCTTCCTTCTGTATTTCTTTCCCTTTCTCTTTCCCATCTCCATTCTTTTCTTTCTCTCATCTCCCATCCTTTACCACCCCTTAAAAGTTTATATCCATTTGACATTCAACATACTCAGAAAGATGTACGCTGTTTCCTTTATTGTATCAGTATTTATTAATTATTCAAAGGTTTTGCATTATGGTATTTCCATACATGCATATACTTCAGTCAAATTAACCTGAAACTGTGAAGATGAGCTACTGATTATCCAGGAACATCTAAGCCCTGTGTCAGAAATTGTCTTGTTATTAGATTCCTAACTGTTTATCTTATTATGCATTTTATTTTTAGAGACAAGTACTTACTCAGAAAGATATACTCCACTTTTTTGTTGTATATTAATTGTACAAACCAAATCTGTTCTTGAACTCGGAACTTCCTGCTTCATCCTCTTGAACACTGGGACTCTAGACATGCATCAATATGCTCTACTTACGATTTTTTGTTTTGTTTTTCCTGTGCTGGTCCTAGGGCTTGAACACAGGGCCTGGGTGCTGTCCCTGAGCTCTTTTGCTCAAGGCTAGCACTCTACCTCTTGCATCATAGCTCCACTTCTAGTTCTAGTTGTTAGAGATGAGTCTCTGATTTTTCTTCCCAGACTGGCTTCAAACTACGATTCTCAGATCTCCTGAGTAGCCAGGATTTTAGCAGTAACCACCAAGGCCAGGCTTTTACTTTGCTTTTTAAATGATCCTTAGATGTTTGGAATTGAGCAGATGCTCCATAAATTGAACCATTTTTTTTAAAAAAAATTTTCTCTCTAAAGAAATGTTAAAAAAATATTTCCTTTTTGCCCAAGATTTATGTTTTGTTATTCAGTTAGTTTTTTGATTATTCATACATTTGTGTTGTTTCTTCCTTGTGAATTCCAGGAAGTTTGTACTACCTGTCCTACTACCATAACCAGCAATGTCAGGTACTTTCTGGAAATGGGGTCCTTTTTTTTTTTTTTTTTTAAATTTAATTTAATTTTATTTGTGAACATACTGTACAGAGGAGTTACAGTTACATGGGCAGGATAATGCGTACATTTCTTACCAAGCATTGCAGCCTCCTCCTTTGTTTATCCTTCACATCCCTTCCCAGCCTCCCCCCTCCCCCCCTAATCCCAATCCTTCTCCTCCCCCCCCCCCCCAACAATGTTGTAAAGCTCGTTTTGGACATGACAACTTGTACTTCTCATTGTTGCAACAGGTCCACCTGTATCCTTAAACAACTGGTTTTTCCCCATCTCCTCCACAAGTTATACTGACATCAAATATAGTGAAAGCAGGGGTTATACTGTGGAGGAGGGACATACAAAGCAACAAAGAGATAATCTTATCAATGTGTTAGAAACACATGCATGAAAGAAAAAAACATTAAAATACACATCTAAGGGTTCATTTTCCTGACATCACATTATCTGACCTTTTCCGCTTGACTCATACATATACTAGATATTACAAATAAGGGAAACCATGGGACCTACGTTTCTTTGGGCCTGGCTTACTTCACTTAATATAATTTTTTCCAAGTTTTTCCATTTCCTAACAAATGGGGCAATGTCATTCTTTCTGATGGAGGCATAGAATTCCATTGTGTATATATACCACATTTTCTTGATCCATTCATCTACTGAGGGGCATCTGGGTTGGTTCCATATCTTAGCTATGGTAAATAATGCTGCAATAAACATAGTTGTGCTGGTAGCTTTAGTGTGGTCTTGTTTGTAAACATTAGGGTAAATGCCCAAAAGTGGGATTGCTGGGTCATAGGGGAGCTCTATGTGAAGTCTTTTGAGGAACCTCCATACTGCTTTCCAAAGTGGTTGAACAAGTTTACATTCTGAAATGGGGTCCTTTTAATGATTGAAAGCCCCAAGTCAGCAGTAGTTGCTCAATGTTCATATCTGGAACAAACACTCCCAGTTGGCGTCAGTGTCCGAAGTTCTGGGTACTGATTACATAAAGACAAAGCTATTCTTCTGTTCCCGGGCTCCAAAACTTTTGGTAACTTTTATGAGCCTCTGAAGTTGCTTCATCTGGGCTATCTGATCTACTTCATAAATTTAATATTTACTATGAAAAATTTTTAACATACAAAAGGGTATAATAGGCTAATATAACCATATAGCTATTAACCAGCTTCAACAATGATCAATATTGGACCATTGGAGTTTGCGCATCCAATGATTGTTTACTGTCATAGTTTAAAGCAAATCTTAGATAGGACATCATGTATCCTATAAAAAGTTTGGCATGGATATCAAATTCATTAGGAATTTTTAAAGCCTAACTAATATGTCATCATGCATCTAGTAAATAAACAAAATCTCCTAATGTCATTGAATCCCTAATTTTCGCAATTCCTTCAAACTGGTCTTCTTTATACTTGATTGATTTAAATAAAGGCCATAATAGGATTCATACATCATTTAACTGTTAGTATTCTTGTGCTCTTATTCTATAATATTCTGTAACAATCCTCTCCCTAAATTTATATTTGCTGTTACTTAAAAACAACAAAATTAGGTCATTTGCAGAGTGTCTCTCATAATTGATTGCCAACTTCCTTTTAGTGTCACATATATTTCTTTATTTGCTATATCTTGTAAATTACTAGATATATTGAGACTTGGTAAAATTCTTAGCAACCTTCACTTATGTCTTTTAGCAGCTGTAAGTAAATATTGCTGAAATCTATTGTATAAGTTTGTAAAAGGCTGGGTTTTTTTTTCTGATTCCTTCAGTCTTTTTTTTTGCCAGTCTGGGGCTTGAACTCTGGGCCTGGGCACTATCCTTGACCTCCTTTTGCTCAAGGCTAGCACTCTAACACTTGAGCCACAGTGCTACTTCTGGCTTTTTGGTGTTTAATTCAACTTTCTTGCTAGGGCTGACTTTGAACTGTGATTCTTAGATCTCAGCCTTCTGAGTAGCTAGAATTATACTTGCGAACCACTGACATCTGGCCTCATCAAATTGTCCCTTCAAGCTGATTTCAATGTCATTATACCATGACCTTGTACTCTTGGATATCTTTTTTGTTTCATAGCACAAGAAAAATTTCCAGGCTCTTCATCTATTTTCTTTTTTTTTTGGTCTATTGTGGGGCTTGAACTCTGGGCCTGAGCGCTGTTCCTCTCAGCTCTTCAGCTCAAGGCTAGCACTCTACCACTTGAGCCACAGAGCCACTTCCGGTTTTCTGGTGGTTTACTTTACTGCCCAGGCTGGCTTTGAACTGCGATCCTCAGATCTCAGCCTCCTGAGTAGCTAGGATTACAGGCGTGAGCCACCCGTGCCCGGCTTCTTCATCTATTTTCTGTTCACAGAGTTGGGACTTACAAAGAAGTGCTAGTTCTTTTGGATAGAAATAATGTTTGTAGATATCAGACTTTTGTACCAAGTGTTTCATATCCCTGGATTGTGTTGGGAATGAAAATTCATCCAGGTTGGTTTGCAGCAGAATGGTAAAGAACTGGGGAGATATGGTTGTATCAGAATGTGCAATCTGATTACCAAATGCAATTGAATATTTCTTACTCTGATGGGAAGGATCACTACATTGATTTATTTTTGCACCTGTGCATTGATAAGTCTAAGGTAAGGATTTCCTAAGACTGAACCTAAGCTGTATGCATTGCTAATATTGAACAAACTCCACATATTGACTAAAGATGTTCCATTGCCTTCTTGCTTCAATTACTTCTGATAGAAAAGCTTTACTTATCATTATCTTTTTTTTTCCTTTGAAGGGCAACAATTTTATTTTTTAGGAAGTTCTTACTGTACATTTTCCAAGAGAGTCATGTAAGCAATCAAAAACTAGATCCTCCCCTCATTCTAGACATAAATAACATGGGCATAACATTTTCTTTTTTAAATTATGACCCTTGGAACTTTAGCACCAGCATCCAGAATAAACAAAAAAAGGTGTAGGGGGGGGGATCCTTTACTATATATTTCAGATTTTCTTTGGTAGGGGTTCTCTCCATATGTATTAATATTTCTTCTTTCAATTCATAGTATCATCATATATATATATATATATATATATATATATATATATATATATATATATATCCTAGTGATTGTTGAAACTGGGAGGGTTCTGTCTTGCATTCTGTGCAGGCATTCCTGGATTGCAGCTTGCAGGAAAAAATGCTGGCATTTTCCTTTTGTAGTTGTTAGTTTCACAAAGGATAATAGCAAATCATTCTAATGTCCACTTGGTTAGTCGTCGACTTTACTGTTAGCTGTTTCTTTGGTGGTGGTAAGGTCGTAGGTGTGCTTTATTTTTGAATGGTCATTAATTCTTTAGGTCACCCTATGGGTGCCGGTCAGCAGCTCAGCGACTCCCTTCCGCGGGAGCTCCATCCTGGCCAGCCCGGTTGGCTGCTTCTGCACCCTTTCCTCCTCCAACCACAGCAAACTCGACTGTCTCGCCATCCCCTTCACTGCGCAGGCATTTCCGTGGATTTGTCTTCCTGGTGGCCGTCTGATGTACAAATACATCCATTCCGATTCATAAATCCATATCCATTTCTGACATCGAACCACTTCACAGTGCCAAGGACGTTGGTGGCGAGAACTTTCTCGGGAGTCTTCACTGCCGGCGGGGGCGGCGTCCCTGCCCAGGTTCCCGGACTCCAGGGCCGGGGCTGCGCCGCCGACCGCCGGGCTCTGGGGCGCGGGGTACGGAGCGGCGGTCGGGGCCAGGCCCGAGGGAGACTGGCGGCGGCGGCGGCCGCGGCCGCGGCGGTGGCCTGGTGGCCTCGCGGGCCGCGCTCAAGCCGCGGCTCGGCTCCCTTCCTGCCCCGGCGGTTGGGCGGCGGCCGGGCTGGCTCGGAGGCCGTTGCGGATCCCAGGGCCGGCGGCTGGAGCTCCGGCGGCGCTGGCTGCCACTTGGCATTATCTTTGTTTCTCTTTACAGAATCTATCTTTTTAGCTTTTGCTACTTGAGGATTTTCTCGTTGCCACTTCCTGGCATAGCAGAAAATAAAGCAGGTGGTACCTACCAGAGAACAGAAAGACTAAGGGAGGCCTGGGGAAGAAAGCTCCTCACAACCACAGGGGGAAGCAGCATTTGAAAGAGACCACCTGGTTCCAGAGCACAGGTAAATAAGCTGTAAACCAGTGACTTTTAATACCAAATCCACCACATCTGCACTTCCCCCCCTACCCCCCTTATTGATCTCTCTGCCTTTGCTTTGACTATAATGTGGAATAGGCTCTTGCATCGTTTTTTTTTTTAAAAAAAAAATCAGGTTCTTCTTTGATGCTGGACCTCGTGTTTTCCAATCCATCCCAGACCCAGGATCCTTTGAGTATACATTTCAACTTCTGCATCCTGATTTCCTTCTTAACTCTTGAGTCTTTCTTATCTACCTGCAATCACACCTTTCCTTTGAGAGTACACGTTTACTGCTGGTGACACTTGACATAGTAGGTAAATCATGAACCTAGATTTAAATTTCTGGCAGTTTACTGTCTTCATTATTGGAGCTACTACAGAAGTGAGTCATCTCAGAACTGTGCTCCTCTGCAATCCTCAGTCTCTGGTCACCATGAGTGTCACTCACATGTGTGCGCACATGCGCAACAGATTCCTGGGGATCTAGGTTTGCGTAAAGCAATGATTCCTTCTGTCATAGATGATGTGTCTGTAGAGTTATAGAAGTAACTAACAGATTTTCACCTCTCCTCATAGAAGAGAACTAACAAAAGCATGACTGCTGGATAATACTAGGAGTTTTAATCCCCAAGGAGATTGCTATGTAGTTCATAGAACTACAAGATATGGGTTATGTTGAGTTCTCAAATAATTAAATGTATGGATCTCACAAAGATGGGGCAAATATGTAATTAGCTCTGGCACTAATAAACTAACTCATGAATATATTACTCCCTATAAGTGTTTTTCTTAGTGTCTTCTTGAAGTATCTCTCAGCATCTCCCCATATTCTTGCCCTTCCACTCCGAGAAGCAGTGATCTGCTTTCTCTGATGAAGATTAATTTGTATCTTCCAGGAATTTATTTAACCTAGTACAATCTTTTTTGATATTCAACCCACATTATATATGTGAACAACTCATTTCTTTTTATTGATGAGTAAAATAATAGTTCATTGCTAGTGCATTATAGAATCCCAGCTCCTACAAATATATTCCCTGCAAGTATTTACCAAAACACCTTTCACACATCCCCAAAAGCATCCTATTTACTAAGACACCTTTCACACCTCCCCCAAAATATCTTATTTACTAAATCTAAGGCCAAACCGCCTTCTGGTTTCCAGGCTTTTCCACATTCCAGTCACCTGATGTTTAACTTGTTTATTGTTTCCTTCTTCGGGTCTGGAATTTCCCTTTAATCCCTATCTTTAATAATTAATCATTTTGTTCTGTTTCTGATTTCACATTTTACAGCATGGCTATATTACAACTTGTTTATCCATTTTCCTTTTGATTAAAATTGTATTGTTTGCAGATTTGGGCCATCATAAGTAAAGTCCTTATGAACAGATTTTTATAGAGACATATGTTTTTAGCTCTAATAGATACATATTTAGGAGTAGAATATATGGATCATATAATAAATACATGTTTAGCTTTTTAGTAAAATGGCAAACTATTTTCAAAGAAGTTGTATCATTGTACATTTTCACCAGCAATGCAAAAGACTTCTTTTGTAAGGTGAATTATCCCAGAAGCCACATTTTCGAAGATGGAATTTTGAAGTCTTTATTACAACACTAGCAGTCTGTAGGCTACCCATTGTTACAAAGACCTGCAGCCCCCAAATACACATAACACAGCTAGGAAACAGGCCAGAGAGGGAAGAAAGAACAAAAACAATACCAACAAACCAATTCAGCTCTGAGGGAGAGCTGAATTGGGATGCCATGATGACAAGAGACGAGCCAGGAGACAGGATACAGGACAAGATCAAAAGGAAACACACCTAGCAAGGCATAATTGATAGGGTAAAGTAGACTTTGCCAGAGAACCACGCAGACATCTAGGTACAGAGAACAAAGAAAGGTTTATTGCTGGGAAAGGGACCAGCAAGACCCCTTCTCACAAGGGAAAAGTGAAAAGAAGCACCGGCTATTGTCGGAGGTGACCTATATAACCTAGGAGGCCTAGGAGGGGCTAGAAGGGGTTAGGAGGTGGAGACCCTGGAGTGGACGTGAGGGCCAAGGGCTTCATCATGGCGGACTAGGATTTATGGCTCCTGCCCAAATAGTAGATAAGGGGCAACTGCTCAGACCTGAAGGTCACTCTGAGGGGCTCTTGTTGCCTTATATAGTGGTAGCTGCCCCAGAGAAGTGCCATCCTGCCCCAGAGAAGTGCCATCCTGAGGCAAAGGGGGGTTGGAGGCTGATTATTTACCGCCTTTACTAAATGGGCCTGGTGTTGCCTAGGAAGGGAGCTAAGCTGTGGAAAGGGGAAGAAGTGGAGTGTGCTAAGCTATGAGAAGCTAACAATAATGGCACCTGTGCTAATCTGGGCCTAAAGAGTGTTGGAGCAGGGGGAAGATCCACAGGAAATTCCCAGTCCTAGGCACTGAACTGACAAATTCAGTAACCTATCAGCCAAGTGCCTACCCCTGCTTCCAGGGTTTTGGGATGCCCATCATCTGGGCGGCAGGGGCTTTTCCTTCCTCCAGTATGAAGACAAGAGGCCAGATGCTACCATCCACCATCTAGCCAATTTGGCGCTGGCCAGACCTGACCTCCTTACTTCACTTCTAGATCCTCTACATACTTACTACGTTGGTTTGGTCAGCCTTTTAAGTTTTGGAGATTCTAAGGAACAGGTAGGGTTACTTACTTGTGGTTTAGTTGCACTGCTCTAATGAAGTTGAACTTCATTTCATGGACTATCAATATATCTTTTTTAGTAGAATATTTCTTTAAATCTTGACCTTGAGCATGCTAATTCTATGGCCTGGCTAAATCATTTTTTAAGGTAAGCCTTGTGATTCTAGTGAAATTGTTCTGATTCTACCAAGACTAGGAAATATTTCACCCAAAGATTTGCAAACTAGAGGTGGTTCAAACCTGATTTGTCTTGTGCACCCTGGTCCCAGTGAACATGAAGAACTTCTCTTCCTTCAAGGAATAATTAGTCTTTCTCCAATGTTACTGTATAAGTTTGGCTATGAGACTTTAGTATCTCTATAGCATTCTGCTTGGACTAAAACATTCTAAATGTCAGTTTTCTATCATCTAGCCACTCCAAAATTATTCCTGGGAAAGTGACAGGATTATGATTTCTTCACAGAACATCAGCCTCTGTGTTTTTATTTTCAGTTATATGTTGGAAAGACTGGATCGTCAATTCTTGGCCAAGAAGAAGAAGTGTTAATGAGATTGGAAGAAGATACTATAATTTGGATGCATGACTGCTAAACTGATCATCATTAATGAGAAGTATCAAAGTACAGGTTAAAAGAAAAGGGCTTTATCCAAGTGACCTTTGAGGAAATTCAAATGCTGCCTTTGGATGGAGAAATCCTTATTATTTCTGCAGTTTCTGCTTTTTCTGCTGCAGAGAGCTTCTCAGACTCTCTCTTGGGTGCCTCCTGTGAACTCTACAGATGTCCCCTGGGTCAGATATCTGCATGTTGCTGGGTTGCTTTGCTTTGTGGCATCTCTAATGTCTGTTTTGAAAAGGTTGAAAAGGAGAAGAATCACAAACACCCTAGAAGTTGAAAACATCATCTGTTTTCTAAACTGTATATAGCTGAGCTTTCCCTGACCTCTAGGTGAAGCAATGTCTCTGACTTTTGTAGGTGGTGATTTCCAGCTCTCTGAATACACTGGGCTGGTGTGTAACCCAGACTCCTTTCCCTATGTGAGCATTGGGATCAGTCTCTAGCTGTGAAAAGTTGAATCTGGTTCAGTATTTCTGTGAGCTCTTGTGATTTTATAGCTTCTACTCATGGTTGCCCTTTAAATCCTCTCTTAGTTTATAGCCCTGACATCTCCCTTCTATTCTGACTTTGACTATAGCTATTTAAATTGTATGGTGAGAGAATAAATCATCTCCCAGCTAGCTGAGGCCTGGTAGCCTGATAGGGCTTGTCACTGATATATCAGTGATTTAGAAAGAGGAGTCCCAAGAATTTGAATTTGGTGGGACATTTATTACATATCATCCACATACTTCTTTCAATTAAGTTTTATTGCCTTTTCTATAAGAGAGAAAATGTGCTAGGCAATCATTGGTGGCTCATACTTATAATCCTAACTACTCAGGAAGCTGAGATCTGAGGACTGTGATTCAAAAACAGGCAGTCAAAGAAAACTTCAAGAGATTCTTACCTCCAATTAGCCAAACAAAACAAAACAAAACAAAAAACAGAATTAGGAATATGGCTCAAGTAGTAAAGCTCCAGCCTTGAGTAAAAAAGCCAAATGATACTATCTATATGAAGTAGAAGCTCTTGTACCACAACAAAGGAAGGAGGGAGGAAGAAAGGGGGAGAGGGGCGAGAGAGACAGAGACAGAGAGACAGAAAGAGAAAGAGAGACAGAGAAATCAAACCTCTTTTATCTCACTTTTTGGAATTTAAGTATGGAAAATCTAAGTCCATTACAGAGGAGATCTTCTTTTCTTGTAAATTTTTCCCTAAGTCATTTTTAAGGACTCTGGACCCTGGGTTAATTAATCAATAACTTTTTAGAATTTTGATATTTCGAGCTCTGACTTAGCCAAGTAAGATTACATAACATAGCTTTAAAACTTAATTTTTAATGTAATTTTTAAATGCTCAGGAATTTAGGGCCTACATTCTACATGTAGAGAAATAGAGCCACAGTAGAGAAATAGAGCCAACGTAGATTCATGTAGAAAAAAAATAATCCTGCTCTTTTTCATCTCAACCATTAGGCTTCTTTCCTTTTTTTTCTTTGAGTCTTTTTTAATTTGCTTTTTTGTGCAGGGTCTCACCCAAGCTGGCCTGAAATTGTCCTATAGCTCAGATAGTCCTCAAACTTGCAATCTTCCTGCCTTCGTCTCCCAAATGCTGAGTATATATTGACTATTTCCTTGACTTAGATTTCTTTTTGGATCAGAGTGATCTTTTACGTGCTTTACTTCAGTTTGAGAGTCTTCAGAGAGGATAGAATGCCCACTTATACTTTTGATTTAACAGATATGCTAACAATGGTCTTCATCAAATTGTGAATAGTTGCCATTACTAGTAAGCCACTTGACAGCTCAGCGGGATACTGAATCTGATTTGGAAAAAAAACATTTCAGGAGACTCTAGTACAGGATCCTACTGTGATCATAAGAAGCCTATTCTGCATAGTCTAAAGGGCCAGGACAGGCCCTGGAGGAGGATATACCTCTCATGTGAACGTCACAAAGTCCAGCAGAGATCAGGTGACTCTGGGGCAGCTGTTAAGCAATCACATTGAATATGCTAAATCTTGAGACATAAGACCCTTGATTAAATGGTAGGGACTTGTCAAAAGATAAAGATACTAAAATTAGAATGTAAAATACAGGTAAATTAAAAAGTTGGAGGCAGCCAACTCTTTCAAGGCTATATGAAGAATAAATAACAATTTTTCCCTTTTTTTCTTTCTTATTTTATGTTTTTTAAGACAAGATTTCACTATGTAGCCCAAGTTGGCCTGGAAATTATGATCCTTCTGTTTTTATCTCTCAAGCTCTAGGATTACAGGCATGTGCTACCATGCCCAGCTACTATATATATTTCAATAAAATGGAAAGAGGAGTATAACCTGAAAACTGGGAGTAGGAAAAAGATGCATTTAATAAAAATGATCTATAAAACCTGGAACAAACATTCCACTCAAGAAACTTTCCTATTAGCATCAAATATGTAAGAGAAGTGCTTGCTATATATATTCACCATTATACTGGAAGGCCTAGCCAGAATAATCATACAAGAAGCAGTTGTGAAATGATTAGAAAGAAGAAATAAAACTACAGCTATCAATAAATGATGTGGAAATCAAAAATTCTAATAAATTATTATAATAAGAGATCAAGAAAGCTTAACAGGTTAAATCACTTTTTAAATGATCAGCCTCAAACATTAAATGTCACAAAAAGATACAAAATTCACAGTAGCACATAAAAATGGAGAAAATATGGAAAATACTTTATGTAGAAAATTATAAAACTTTATATTGCAAGGTATTGTGCAGAACTAAATAAATTATTTTTATGAACAAAAACATACAAAAATGCACTCTGAAGTCTTCTTACGCTAATTCATAGGTCAAACAAAATTCCAACCAACATTCGAACATGTTTTTTCTTTGAAGTGGACTGCCAAAAATTTTAGAGGTAGACTCTATTTCTTTCTAATTATTTTCCTACTTTGCACCCTGCTCTCTTGCAGGGACTCCTTGTTTTGTTTTTGTTTGTTTCACTGGTTTATTTGTGCCATTACTGAGCCTTGAAGTCAAGGCCTGAAAATTTTGCTTTGATTTTCCTGTTTAAAGCTAGTGCTCTACCACTTGAACCACACAGTTCCACTTCTAGCTCTTAGCTAGTTAATTGGAGATAAGAGTCTCTGGGATTTTCCTGCCCAGGGTGGCTTCAAACCAAGATCCTCAGATTTCAGCCTCCTGAGTAGCTAAAATGACAGGTGTGAACCACTAGCACCTGACTAGGGAGTCTTTTTAGTGGGGCTCACTAAACACATGCTGGACAACGTTCATGGAAGCATCTTACATACAGTACTATTACTCCTTACAATAATCATCTGAGATAAGTTACTATGTCCAACTTACAGTCTGGTTAAGGAATTTGATAGTAAAATACGGGGCTGGCAATTTAACATCCCCCACCCCACCCCAGGAAATCTGGCTGCTTTTTCTATTCCCTCTTCAGCAAACATTGACACCAATTTTCAACTTTAATTTACAATAAATCTTCCCTTCAATTTCCTTCTACTTGTATTTTGCTATGACTGAAATGGTATGACTGTCAATTTTCTTTTAATCTCTTAAAAATAGGTGATGTACCTGTTTCCTCTCTTTCCTTGTCTTCTTATTTATTCCTGGCTTTTTTTAAGTAGTAAAGGTATATTTTCCTTCCTTCCTTCCTTCCTTCCTTCCTTCCTTCCTTCCTTCCTTTCTTTTTTTCTTCCTTTCTTTCTTTCTTTTTTTGGTGCTGGCCTGGACTCAAACTTAGGCCCTGGGTACTGTCCTGGAGTTTCTTTGCTCAAGGCTAATGCTATACCAGTTAAGCCACAGCTCCACTTCCAGCTTTTTGATAGTAAGTTGGAGATAAGAATCTCATATTATGTGTGATTCATTTATTTAAGCATTTATATTGGGAGTTTTTCTGTTAATTTTGGTGCTTTATCTTTGAGGCTATTGGGTTATATTTCCGTACTGACATTTTTAATGGTATTGAATTGCCAAATAGAAGCATATATCTCTATCACTTAAATGTGAAGTAGTACTTGCCTGTGAGTTAATAAACTTCCTGATTACTAAGTTTTATCTTGGGAGAGGAGAGTCAAGGTTGATTGTGCTGTTGAACTAGGTATGCAAGGTGCCATTTTGGATGGGGGCAAGAGGGAGCTCTATGTTCTTTTTATTTTCTTTTTTAAGTGTCAAAGCAAAAAGTTTAATGAGAGAGAGAGGGAAACTGTGGCCTAGTTAGCTTCCCTGCCAAGGGGAAGAAGGTTAAAAATTCTTCCAAGTTCTTATCTGAAATAATTTTGCTTATTATCCTCCACTGACCAGGCTAATCTCTTCAATCTTGAAAGAACTTCAAAAGGTAACTTATAAAGCACCAAAAAAATGCTTAAATAAATGAATCACATCCAAAAAATTCATTGATATGCTTATAACAAGAGCTAGATGAATGGAAAAGAAGTTTCCTTAAAGTGATATCTTTTTTTCTTTGTTCTGTTCCTTTTGTTTCCTTTATGGAGAGGAGGTGTTTTCTCCCACTTTACATGGCATCTTTCAGATTTTCAAATTCCAACATTTATACTAAAACTTTCTCCCCCCTTCCTGTGTGTACCTTTGTGTGTGTGTGTGTGTGTGTGTGTGTGTGTGTGTGTGTGTGTGTGTGTGTGTGTGTGTGTTGGCATTGGGGCTTGAGCTCTAGGCCTGGGCACTGTCCCTTAGCTTTTTTTTCCTCAAGGCTGGCTCTTTACCACTTGAGACACAGTTCCCCTTCCAGCTTTTTGGTAATTACTTGGAGTCTCATGGACTTTCCTGTCCTGGCTGGCTTTGAACCACAATCCTTAGATCTCTGCCTTATAGGCATAAACCCCAGGTGTCAGACATCTATTAAAGCCTGGGCTGAATTCCTTTGATGCTTCCTTCTCTCTGAGGATTCTCATTTGCCTTTTAGCACTAAATCAGGATAACACAACACAGATCATTAACCTCTGTTATTGTTACAAAAGAAGATTAGGATGGATGAAGGGTCAGACCTAATTATTGGTCATTACATTGCAAATTTAAATTATAATTATGTTCAATTATGAGTGGCTGGTATTTATCAGGTCTGTGCTTAGCTAGCCCAACTGATGTCTATGAAAGAGAAAAAGAAAGGAAGAAAGGAAGAAAGAAAGGAAGGAAGAAAGAAAAAGAACAAGAAAGAAGGAAGGGAGGGAAGAAGGGAGGGAGGGAGGGAGGGAGGGAGGGAGGGAGAGAGAGAGAGAGAGAGAGAGAGAAAGAAAGAAAGAAAGAAAGAAAGAAAGAAAGAAAGAAAGAAAGAAAGAAAGAAAGAAAGAAAAACAGATTGAGGAAGATCACAGGTGATCAGAAGTATAGCATGTACTTAAACTGCTTTTGCTGGAAAGCATCCACTCCTTTCTTGAGCACACAAACCCAAAACAAGAAAAAAGTCAGGCATCCTTGCTTCTGTGTTGCACCTTTGTCTAAGACTTTTGCTCTGCAATTACTTTGCAATCACTTTGAAATTCAGGAAGAATAGGATTTATTGATAATGTGTTTGCCCACAGGGTTAGAGGAAACTTTCCCCAAAGGAAGGAAACATAGAGCCTCATTGGGGCAGTAATAACAAGACTCTCTGGAATCCTTCCCAAAACTAAGCACTAAAATGATCAACCAGGCCACACTTTGTCCGGGTCTGTATAATAACTATGCCTAGACCTCTCCCCTTGCCTTCAGTTCTTTGTCTATTTGAATCTATAGCTCATGTCTATACCCTGAAGATGGCTAAAGATGAACTTACATATTGTCTTACTCTTCCTGCCCATGCCACGTAATAAAGCCCCTTTCTCTGACCTTTACCATATCTCTCCTAGGAGTGAATGGGCAGACTTGACATGTGGAAACCCAACAGTTTGGAGCTGGGTTCTAAAACTTCCATTTCATAAGCAATAAGAACAAGCATGAACCTGGAGTCCCCAAAGCCTAGAATTCAATCTCTTTTCCCAAAACACTTCAAACTTACTTTAGCTAAAGGGGTAGATCCAATTTCTTCTTTGGACTGCAAAGTAAACAGTTTTGTATGTGCTTGTCTCTCTTCACTCTGAATCAGAGTATTTCACAGTCTAGTCTGGGATTCAACCTAAGATTATTATTGTTAGACGATAATAGCTGCTAAAGAAGCTGAAGATTGTCTAGAGTGAATAAAATCAAATGTGAGACTAGTATCTTCCCTACCACATACACAGTTATAAAATCATTCCACCATTACATCACACCAAATATTCATTCCTAGCAGGTGTAACTACATCCTAGAGACAGAGGGGTGGGGAGAAGGCAACAACAAAATGTTAGTTACACATTTTGCCCAGCACTCTGGAATCCAAGCACTCTGGCTCCACAAACCTGTGACTGGCAGGTGCTCGTAGGAGTCTTCTCTGTCCTGACCTTTTTTCTCATAACCCTGGCTGTCCACCCTGGGGTGGTTTCTTGAAGACAGCTAAGTAGCATAAAACATTGCAACTTACAGGAAAAATCTAGGAAACCACCGATATATATATTACTAAACCAAAACAAAGAGACTATAAGATAATAGTGAAAGAAATGGAAGGATTTTTATTGAAATGCTATTGTGCAATATCATAGTTTCTGTGTACCATTTTCTTTGAAATAGTAGCAGGCATAACAGAACTTTGATTTCACTGTTTTCCTAAAAACAAAACAAAACAAAAAGGAGGGGAGGAGTGAAGCAGGACTGGGTTTTACTATCTCCTGACCAGTAGTCATGCAGCCCAACAGATTGTTGGGTTCCGGTCACTGTGACTAAATTGCAGGCGTAGCTGCATGATTAGCATTTAGCCATGGGCCTGCGGGCTCCAGGATCTCCACCACCATATACCAGCACACTCCCAGGTTTGCCCATGAGCCAGCACAAGCTTGCTCAGAGTAGGTGGAGCAGGTGCAAGCCTGGAGCGTAAGCCTGGCCTCGTAGTGCCCTCTAACGCTAAAGCGGAGTTCTGCAACTCATTTTCTTCATAGGCTGGCTTCTAGAATGTGCCACATCCCACTGTGATTTTTTTCCCCTGCTTTGGTTCATCTAATTAAGAAGAATCCATTTGAACACAAGTATCTACAGGACTCCCTTTTCTGGGTATCTATGCTATTACCAAATACACCAGCTGCCAACGACTTTCTTGGGACTGAAAACATCAGACACCAAAGACATTTTTTTCGGGGGTGGGGGGTGGAGGGCGGGGGGAGGGGTTCCGGTCGTGGGGCCTGAACTCTGGGCCTGGGCACTGTCCCTCAGCTCTTCAGCTCAAGGCTAGCACTCTACCACTTGAGCCACAGCACCACTTCCGGCTTTTTTCTTTTTGCTTATGTGGTGCTGAGGAATCAAACCCAGGGTCTTCAGGCATGCAAGGCAAGCGCTCTACCACTGAGCCACCTTCCCAGGCCCCCCCCCCCTTTTTTAATGAGACAATCTTGCTGTGTAACTCAGGCTAGCTTCCAACTACCATGTTTCTTGCCCCCCATCTACCACTCCTGGCTCTTTAAGACACTTTTAGAGCCATGTTCATTTTAAAAATTAAAGTTTGGCTAATATGTCCTGCTGGTAATAATCACTGATTATGGGAATAATTTATGGGAATAATCACCCAATTAATTAGTAAGTTAACACACATGGAAGAGGGAAAAAAGCTTTAAATTTTCTCTCAGCTTTAACATGTTTTTAATTATATTTTTATTATCTTTAAGTAGTTGTACAAAAGGGTTACCATTCCTTGTTATGTTTTCTTGTAAGTAAAACAGTCT